AAGCTTATAGGTAAAAGCTTATATTAAGAAAAAAAAAATTATATTATTATTTATTATCTGTATTTATAGCTTAAAGCTTAACCTTATAGGCTATAGTTATCCTATAGATATATTTTTAAAGTTAATTATTAAAATACTAACTTCTTAGCTAAAACTAAGATCCTAGGTAATAATAAGGGTAATAAGTATCTTACCTATATATATATTTATTAGTATTCTTTACCTTTATACGCTAGGGGCTAAACCCTCTTTTAACTACCAATAACCTCATTCTAGTCTAAGTCAAGAAGATAGAGTATTTAGGGTGGATCATACTGCCTACAATCATTCTTATTTCCTTGCCGCCGGCGGCCGGGGCCGTGGTGGCGTGGCAGACTCCTCCAAGGGGTTGGGGCTGCCGGTCACTCTGCTTTGTCACTTATGCAGGCTTCCAGATGGTGCTTACCCCTCTATACTTCATCATTACCCGCAGGACGAAGCAGAAGACATTCGTACAGCGCGTCACACACTGGCTCTTGGTGCTAGTGTTCAACGCCATGGTTCTGCTGTCTCTCTTCACTAGCATCTCGACAACTCTCATGCAGATCATCAGAGTCTTTCGTAACTGCTTCTGTTACGTGAATAGCGGGATGTGGCTCAATTTGAGCAATGCCATCGTTAATGTAGCTTCTGACACGAAAGACCGGAGAAACTCAAGCGACGGGTGGATTGTCATGGGCGGAGTTGCCACTGCTTTCATGGCAGCGTGTTCCTTTTTCGGGTGGTGGTTTCAGATGAACATCCGGGTCTCTTTCGATGACGCCATAAAGGATATTGATGAGCTGTTTTAGCTCAAGTTTATGGTACTGGGTGTGTCGGTGTTATAAATCGCTGTCGAATTCATTTAGATGAGTCATACCGATAAAAGTGGAGAGATTAAGAACTAGAATGAGAATTAGAAAATCGCAGCGATATTGAAGTTTGAAGTTTAAATACTTGCGTTATTGAATTGACCTCAATAAAGATATCAAACCTTGGTACTCGATCCAACGATCTTATCGGAATCCAATATGTCTCAGAACATTTACGACAATGCCAGATTCTTTGCTGAGTATTCCTCGCTGGATCGATCTGTTAAGGGTCTCGATGCGGCCCCAGAATGGCCGCGGTTGAGATCTTACATCCCAGACCTCAAAGGCCTTGACGTCCTTGATCTTGGCTGCGGCTTTGGATGGTTCGCTCGCTGGGCACGAAGCACTAGAGCTAACTCCGTTCGAGGGCTCGAAATTTCCGAGAATATGCTCAATCGAGCACGATCCATGACCAATGACACAAAGATCATCTATACACAAGCTGATCTCGACAACACCAACCTTTTGGAACATGGTAGCGGCATATATGACGTGGTGTTTAGCTCATTAACGCTCCACTACCTTGCGAATCTGCCCGCGCTCATACAACAAGTGCAGAGTGTTCTCAAGCCAGGAGGGACTTTTGTCTTTTCTATTGAGCACCTCATATACACAGCGCCAAGCAAAGCCGAATTCATCACTGATGAGGCATCGGGACGAGAATACTGGCCGCATGATAACTATCAGAAGGAGGGCCTTCGGGTAACACATTGGCTTGGGGCGGAAGGAGTTCAGAAACAGCACAGGACTACCGCGCTAGTTATGTTAACCTTCTTCTCAAGGCAGGGTTTCAGATAAGGGAATTTGATGAATGGTATCCTACACCAGAAGAATTGGAGAAATGTGGTTGGCATCGGGTGTTAGAGAGGCCGGTTTATCTCTTGATCTCAGCTGTTAAGAACTAGTTTATGCCCTTTAAGAAGATCTTAAATCTTTTAGCTTATATTGACATGCTATACTAAGTAATACTGTAATGCTTCTATTTGAAACCCTAACTGTTAGAGTAAGCTACATAATCTTATAATATAAATATTCTAATAGATTCTATAGCTAATACTTATATCAGTCGCCTCACAGCACGAGGCATAAATCTGTTATTAGAGAAAAGGGTTTAACTCATTATAAACATTATAGATTTAATTATTATATAAAAAGAATCTTTACTAATTACTATTGACCTTACTTCTGATATAAATACAAGCATAAACCATCGCCATAGCTACACCCGTGTCTCATTAAAGGCCACTCCCTCACAACTTATAAGTTCCCATCTGTCGAGGGCTGACCTTGTTATGGAACATGTGATCGATCTCATCATATCGTCGGCCCTTGAGCTCCGGAACATAAACCCAACTCCAAATAAAGCCGATCAAGCCCAGGCCACCAAAGATGAAGCCAACCTTACCCTTCAGGTTACCTTCATCAGGGTTAACCATGTACGGAATGGCAAAGTTCATCGCAATACCCATGACAGACTGTGTAGCTGTAGCAAGCACCATAGTCTTGGCCTTGAGGTTCAGCGAGGCTGTCTCACCAAGTACAGCGAAAGCCATAGCGCCAACAGTGGCGAAGTAGACGTAAGCGTAGATGACTGTGCATGCGGCTTGTACCCACTTGGCAGCTGAAGTGGGGACTACATCCATGATGCCGATGAGGAATAATAGGACAGTGAGGGCTCCCATGCCGGAGAGGAAGACCTTGCGACGACCGAAGGAGTTGACGACGAACCAACTGCATATGTTACCGAGAACACCGCATGCTGTAACGCCGACGCCGAGATCGAAGCTGCGAGAGGTCTCAAGACCGGCGAGTTGAAAGAAATAGGTTGAGTATCCGAGAACGAAAATAATACCGACAAAGTGTTGGCAGACAAAGACGCCCATGCTGATCATGGTTCGGATAAGATCCGTTCCCTTGAAGCACTGAATCCATGATGCTTCCTCAGTAGAAGCAGCTTGTTCCTCGGCGATGGTCTCCTTAATAGTAGCCAGCTTGGCGTCAATGTCGACACCAGTTCCGTAGAGTTGAATGAGGGATTTCTTCGCTTCTTCAATCTTGCCCTTGCGAACAAGATATCAAGGTGTCTCGGGGGCGAAGGGCAGACCAGCAGCAAGGATATTAATAAAGATGCTCTGCGTAGCCAGCGCACCCCTCCAAGCCCAATGATCCGTCCTCTCGCCAAAGGCCTTGATCACACCATTCGACACCAACTGTCCAATTGTAATTCCAAGGTTGACGCCTGCAGTAGCGATACCACGAAACACAACCGGTGAGATCTCCGACGTCGCCAACGGCGCAAGTGTCAGGAAGAAACCAAGTCCAAGACGGATGATGAGCTTGGACATGAGGAACGCGACGTTGGTGTTGGACATGCATTCTCCGATCGTAACCCTAAGGTGGGGGGCTGGTGGTGCAACGGTCAAAGCATCACTAGGCGCATACCTAAGCCTTCCCCTAAAGGCTTAAGGTTATAGGTTTAAATCCTGCAGCCTTTGCCCCTTAAAGAAAGGAAAAATTAACTAAAAGTAAAAGCTTTAGGTACCTATTAAGGAAGTAACCTTACTATAAAAGGTATATTTAGGCTAGTTATAGAAAAGTAGTTACTATAATAGGTAAGTTATAGAGACTATTTAGGCTATTTAGGTAAAGTTTAGACTAATTATAGGCTATAAAGAAGTAAGGTTTATTTTATATAATGATTTTTTCTTATACTTTAGCTAATTAAAATCTAGCTATTAGATTTACTTTTTTCCCTTTCTAGACTAGCTAGTATAGAATATTAGTTATTATATAGATATATAAAGACGCTAGCTAGGTACCTAATTAGTTAAGGGTATTAATACAGACCTTAATGACGTAACCCTAAGGTAAAGGGGATCGTCGGCCGGGGAAGAGACCTGCGCCAAGGGGCACGGCGTTTTATCCCCGCAAACGAGCTAATACGGCATGTCAAGTTTGTCGGGCTAGGAAGACAAAGTGCGATAACCAGAAGCCGGCTTGTTCGTACTGCGTCAGTGTTGGGGCGACGTGTATTCAGTCCCCGGTTGATCTATCGGCATTTGACCCTGCGAGTCTCAAGATCTTGGAGCGGCTGGATGAATTGGAGAAGTTGATTCGAGAGCCGAAAGAAGACACCACCAATCAAGATGTTCCGCTGCATGGGACAGAGCTGTTACCCGAAGAGTCTCCTTCGCAGTTATCCCCAGAGAGTCTGGGCGACATACCCCTACGAAGCATCCTCCCCGAGAAGATGGAGAGCCTCCTCCTCTGGTCCGTCCTCTCACGCGACATGTCATCCCACACAACCCTCCACCCCGATCCACCACAACCATCCCCATCTTATTCCCCCGGCTGCACATCCCTAGCCGACATCGCAGATCTCGACACCCAAGGCGTCAAAGCCCTTCTCGACAACTTTTTCGATCACGTGCACTGCAAGAACCCCATCCTCGAAGAGGCAGCAGCCAGAAAAGTCGTTCTCAACGTCGTCATCGACGGGATCGATTGGTCGCCTGGATCATGCCTAACACTGATTATCTGCGCGCTGGGAAAGATTGCGACGCCGTTGGATGCGAGTTTTCATCTGAGGGCAGACTCGATGCCGTTTTTGGAGGCGCAGGCGCTGTTTCAGGCGGCGCAGAAGAGGATTGGCACGTTGATGGCGAGATCGGATATTATTGGGGCACAGTGTTTCTTCCTGTCGGGGGTATTTTTGATGAGTACGTTTAGACCGTTTGAGGCATGGCGATATTTCTCGCAGGCGTTGGCGATGTGTCAGACGTTGCCGTTCCTGTAGAGGGCTCAATCGCTTAGTGCGATGGATGGGGCAGATCTAGCGAGACCGGAATTGAGTGAGGCGCAGCAAGAGGCTGTATATTGGTCTGCTTGGAAGTCTGAACGGGAGCTACGAGGGGAGTTATCACTGCCAGACTTTAGCATGCCGTATTCTTCAAGCGTGCTATATCCCCCATTCTTCCCAACGCCTCCTCATCCCTTGGAGTCTACCAGGACCACGGCATCAAGTCGCCAACACACGGCGTGGCTATTCTACCTCTCCGAAATATCCCTTCGACGTCTCTCCAGCCGAACATGCAACGACATCCTCGAACTCCACCGCGCATCAGCATCGAATGTTGACTTCCTCAAGCAACTCTCCCTCCTCATCCCCGCCTACGAAACCCAAGCCAATGAATGGGCTGAAAGTCTACCCCCCGAACTCTCTATCGCCTTAGCACCGATCGACGATAATGTATGCTGCTTCGTCCTCTGCGGGCACTTGGTAAACTTCTTCGAGCGTCTTTACTGGCCGTTTGTAATGGCCCATCTCGCCGCCTTGGAACGCGGTGTAACTACCCCCATACCCGGGCGGCAGTTTGTAGAGAAGGGCTTGGAGTATTATATCCTTAATGTCGAGGTGAACGAAGCGGGGTTTTCATATCGTCATTACGGGACGTGGCTCATGATTTGAGCTTTAGTACGTTCCGCGACGGTGTTGCTTGCAGTGCGGCTCTTGGGATCGGGGATGCCTGCGGGGTGGAGGGATGCGTGTGAGCGGATTATGCAGGTTTTGAGGGCTTGGGAAGATGATGTCCCGGGATTGTCGAACTATCGGAATTTCTTGGAGGAGGTCTTGCACGGGCTGAACGTTTAGCATGGGGTGTACAACAATAAATTGGTTAAAGCGTACTTCCCCGTGTTTTTACAACTAATGGAGGTGGTCAAGTGTGGGGATCCCGAGGGAATGGTTCGTAGTGGTGTCGTGGCGGATCCTATCGGGGAGTGTCGCTCGTAAGAAAACACTCCACTTTGCGTGTATGGACTATTTAGGTGAAGGCTATAATGACTTTCAGAACAAGCAGACCTCACAGAGCATCACTCGTACGAGCTACTTCGCCATTCATTCGCCCTTCATTATCCGAATTTTTCTATCTTATACCAAAATCTCATACTCTCTACCATGGTCGCAACGGCAGACAACTCCGGCTCCTATGAAGCCGTCCCCAAAACCACCCCTCGCAAGCCATCAGCATGTAAGATGCTCCATAGGAGGGCAGTCGCATCGTCGACCCCTCCGGTAATACCGTCATCCTCAAGGGCGCTGCCATCGGCGGCATGCTCAACATGGAGAACTTCATCACCGGCTACGCAGGCCACGAACATCAGCACAGACAACAAATGGTTGAGGTAATGGGTGAAGAGAAAGCCGATTTCTTCTTTGACAGACTTTTGTACCATTTCTTCACAGACTCTGATGCCGCTTACTTTGCGTTGCTAGGACTGAACTGTATACGCATCCCGTTTAATTATCGTCATTTTATCGATGATATGGATCCCGATAATCTCAAGAAATCTGGGTTTGATTGGTTGGATCGCTGCGTGGACATTTGCGGAAGACATAACCTCTACGCTGTTCTTGATCTTCATGCTGTTCCTGGTCGTCAGAACCAAGATTGGCACAGTGATTCTGGATTATCACGAGCAGCGTTCTGGGACTTCAAAGACCATCAAGATCGAGCCATTCAGCTATGGAAAGCTCTTGCAACGCACTACAAGGGCAACACCGTCATCGCAGGCTACAACCTCCTCAACGAACCCGCCGACGAAACCAAGACCTCATCCGGCCATCACGGCGCCAAGCTGGTAAAGTGGTACGAACGCGCCGAGAAAGAAGTACGCGCCATCGACCCCGATCACATGATCTTCATCGACGGAAACACCTACGCAATGGACTTCCGCGCCTTTCCCGAAAACCCTCTCCCAAACGCTGTATACGCCTGTCACGATTACAGCTTCTACGGTTTTCCTCTTGGAGAGCAGTACGAAGGTACAGATGAGCAGAATACAAAGCTGAGGAAGAGCTTTGAGAGAAAGGTGCAGTTCATGAGGGAAAAGAATGTGCCGATTTGGAATGGAGAGTTTGGTCCTGTTTATCAGAATGAGCATATGGAGGGTGATGAAGCGATCAAGACCAACGCCAAGCGCTTTAATCTGCTGCAGGAGCAGTTGGCTATTTACAGAGAAACAGATGTCAACTGGTCAATCTGGCTGTACAAAGACGTTGGTTATCAAGGCATGGTCTACGCCGATCCCGAGTCCCCCTACATGCGTCTCATCGCGCCCTTCATCGCCAAGAAACAGCGTCTGGGTCTTGATTTCTGGGGCGTCGTGAACAAAGACGGCGTGAAGCACCTCTACGAGCCGTTCATTCAGGGCTTGAAGGAGGAGGTGCTGGAGAAGTACAGAGATACCAAGTATCCCAAGATCTGGACTTTTGAGCGACAGTTTGAGCGGGTGATTCGGGAGTGCTTGATGAGTGAGTATGTGGGATGGGAGTTGGCGGAGTTGTTTAGGGATAAGAGCAAGGAGGAGCTGTAGGAGCTGGCGAGTAGCTTTTCGTTTGAGAAGTGTATTAAGAGGGATATGCTGGTGGGGATCTTGAGTCATGATTCGATGATCTCGGCTGGGAAGTAGTAGAAACACATGGAACTGGGATTGCATTTTGGCGTTTGTTGGTTCTAATATAGTTTTAAGAAGTATTCAATGGGGTTGCATTTCAATGAATATAAATTGTCTGCTTTTCAAGTAAACATTCCATGTCATTATACATCTAAGCTCCTCGATCAATAGCATCCACCCCGTCGGCCAAGTTCTGGCAGCTCAACACAAATCCCCAGCCTCCTTCACAGTTATACTCAGTGCACTTCTTCGCAAAGTCAGGACTTGTCGTTGCACAAGCATCACTCAACATCAGGCAATCCCAGCCCTTTGTGCAAGCGTCTCGAATAGTCCCAGCGACGCACTGATCCGTGTTCTCCCCAGCGAATAGCAAAGTTCTGATGCCTCGTTTGCGTAGTGCGTCTTCGATGCCAGTCCCTCCCCAAAATCCCGACAGTCGATTTTTGTTGATGTGAATGTCTTGTGGTTCTGCGATTTTCTTCAGGCTGGGATGGAACTCGGTGTTCCACTGATCTCGCATCATGACGCGGCCCGCATCGATGAGCGTCCCGTCCTCGCTCTTGACTTGTCCAATCTCAGCGCCGATGCTTCCCAGGAATGTGGGTTTGACATAGTTCTTATCAAGAGGGAAGTCGAACCCTCTTGCGATGCTCGGGGGCATGTCGTCTAGGTCGTTGTCCTTCACGCCCCAGCCAAGCCACACAACTGGTATGCCAGCCTTGCGACAAACGGGAACGACCTGTTTGACGAGTTTGTCCACAATCTCTAAACCAGGGCTTTTGGGGGGACGACCTAGAAGAGGCGACAGGAAATAGTTTTGCATGTCGATGACGACGAGAGCTGTCTTTGCAGGGTCGATGGTAGCATTCTCAGTGCGCGTGTTGAGAGTGATTCGGGGGTAAATGGGTGGTGAATCTGGAGTTGGCGGGTGGGTAAGGTCGAAGCCATATTTCTTCGTCCAGAGCCAGAAATTGTTTTTACCACCGACAATCTTGATTTTCATGATGATTAGTCGAGTTAGAGGCGTATGACATGAGGAAGATTGATGATGGGTTGAGGTAGCGTGGAGGGAGGGGAAGGACAAAGATGTGGCTGCGCTAAATCAGAGTCTATTTGAACAAAACCTGACGTCAGAGTTCACAGCATAAATAGCTCAAGAAACATATAATAATGACCTTTTTTATTCTTGCAAATGCAAATAATTAGAAATGATAATCCATTTTGTGAACGGAGTAGTGCTCAGGCCATGTTCACTGAGCATTGAACAGCGTCTATTGAACACACCTTTCTCACCACTGTCTCAAGTACTTGAAGTATTTAAGCTTATTAAAGCCATTTTCGAGACATTTGCAACCTCTAATTATACTAATCTCACGCATTGTCAGTTCCATAACAGATTTCGTACGATACGCTACCAGTCATGTGTACAGAGGTTGTCAATACATGGGAGTGCACCGTATGTCGCAAGGACTTCAAGTCAAGAAGAGACTACAAAATGTGCAAAGTAGGAAGCAAACAAAATCAATGGGGTGCTTGCAAGAAGACCAATATCCAGCATGAATACTGGAAGGACAAGTGCGGTGCTTGTGCAAAGAAGAGGTGAGGTAGCTCGGAAGGGGTTTAGTTAAGGCATGAGGTAGACTTACAGTGTGATCAATATTGATCTTTCTTATTACGGTCGTGCAAGGATACATTGCAAACTGAAGCTTGGCCCAAGATACATGTTATTCGCCGCTGAGACTTATGGCTGATACCTTAAACTAACACAGAGAACTCAGCGTGTGATAGAACGAAGGCTATCACCCATCATTTACCAAGTCGTTGCAGAAAATATAAAGCGAAATACCTCTTCGGTCTCCCGTCAAATACATCTGCGTCCAAACCATACTCTCACATGATCAGAGAGCAGTCCACGACGTATGACACCAACTCTTGTGCTCGCACGTGGATATTCACTGCTCTACATTATCATTCCGATATATAAGTTCTCACTCTCGGGGCAGTACACCCCAAACATCCAAGAATATCCTCAACCACCAAAATTTAAATCACGAAACATACAGCTGACTTCTACAATGTGTACCGAAGTAGTCGACAACTATGAATGCCCCAAATGCGGCAGAGATCACAGAGCCGACAGAGATTACAGAATGTGCAGTACGGGTCGCCGTCAGAACAAATGGGGCGCCTGTGGCAAGTCATCGGTGGAGAGACATAATCATAAGGAGACTTGCCCCGCTTGTGTCGCAAAGGCGAAGAAGCGAAGTTAGCTACAAGATGCATGTTAAGCCTGTCGAAGGAAGAATTCTCTCTGGGCTGAGAACGGTTCATAATTGACAAATAAAACTTTTCTATATATGCGATGTGATTAGTTTGTACATGAATTTTCTATATCGCCAGCACGCAGCTAGCATTTAAATGTAATCGCAGTCGCGGCCGAGATGCCTGATCCGCACTCTTGTTTTCGTGTATGTTCCGCGTGTCGTGGAAAGTTATACTTCCCTCGGTAGTCTGTGAGATCTTCCCCAGCGCAATAGATGCAGTACCAGAGCTTCCTCAAGCTATTGCTGTCTTCTCTCCTCGTCGAGGAGTGGTCTTGGTTCAGCAGGAGCTTTCTTCTGCAAGCTGACCCAGATAGCTGAACCAATGATCAGAGCACTGCCAATGAAACTGGTGATGGGAGGTGTAGTTCCCCAGACAATTCGCTCGATGATAAGCGCGAAAACCATTTGAACGTACTGCAAATGAGTTAGGTATCGCCGTGTATCTGTTGGTAAGCAGGTACTCACAATAAGATTGGTGGCCCGACCAGCCTTTTCCCTCTGGAGTCCCTCGGTGAGGAGAAGCTGGAGCAGAAAGCCAGAGACACCAATCGAGAGAAGTAGACACCTAATGATATGAGCCTCGAGACTAAAATTAGTGATAAATTTACATACCATTCAGCGATAGTCTTGGGGATCTCGAATTGCAGATCAGGGTGAATCATGATGACAAGAAACGAGCTAACAGTGGCAAGGACAGCGAAGTAATTGACACTGACGAGAGAGTGAGCCCGCTTGCCGATGACGCGGATAGTCGCATACGCCGTCGCCGCTGCAAAAGAACCGAAGATGGCGCACAGGATAGCGATGGTGCGTTCTTGTGGCGTTGCCTTTACTGGCGGTAGGATACCACCATCAGCAGTAAAATTTGGGTCCACAGCGCGGGACTCCAACTCTGATAATGTTCGCCAGCTTTCGGGGAAGAGGAAAGCCGGGCGGGCGACGAAGAGGACACCTGCGAAGGCGATGAAACCAGCGGTGGCTTCTTTGACGGTGAATGGTTCCTAGACACTGCGTCAGCCGAGAGCATCGTCAAAGATCGAGGGCGGACTTACGCGTAGAGCAACCCATGCAATAAACGCAGTAAGAGTCGGCACAAGAAAAGTGATGACCGTCGCATCAGAAATGTCAAGATACGACAACGAATCTACGCCACTTCGTTAGCAGAGTCCCTTCCTACGTCTATCCATCAAGGAATCCTCACAGTAAAGTCCAAAAAGCCCAGCTGATCCCGCAAATCCTCTCAACACCAACAAACCCCTAACCTCCCTCGGCCCCAAAGGAAAATTCGGCACTTTTTTACACCACATGTAAACAGAGCCAATCAGCGCCGTAGCCAGCATTCGAACAAAAATGATCTGCAGAGCGTGAAACTTTGTTTCAAAACCCGTTTCAAGAAGCCGCGTTGTCATGGACATCTGAGTTTGTTAGTGTGACCGTTTCATCGGGTTCGGGAGTGCCGTGCTTACGATTGAAGCGAAAAGTTGGGCGACTAAGACGTAGAATAGGCCGATGTTTCGGGAATAGAAGCTTTGAAGCTTTGAGGAGAATGTTGAGTCGGAGTCTGAACTTGTTTCGGAGGATGTTTCTGAGGAGTCTGAGCTATTGGCCGTTGGAGCCAGGAGAGCCTCTGATTCTCCATGTTGATTGGCCTGCGTCTTGTTTTGAGAGTGAGACATATCGGAAGTTCTTGTGAGAATAAACTGTCAAAATAATTCTACGGCCAGCGCAGTCAATAGTCCCCTGCAATTAAGTCAGGTCAAAATTCACAGCCCGTGTGATAGAAGCATAATAAGCGCAGCGAAAAGAACTGAAGGATTTTCTCCAGTTGGTCTCGTGAGCGAGTGGCGCTGAGCCAACTAAATACTCAGCTGAGATTGGACGGCCACGGTCCCACGAAAGGGGGGTTTCCACCAATCGCGGCTATAATCGCTACGTGAAACCCGGGTCATTAATTCTTCCGTTGTCTTGGCTGTCCTTAATCTCTGCCATCAAGACTTCAATTTGTCTGTTTGTTATATTCATAGAATACACGATGCTCCAGCCGTAGTCTTAGTTATGGGTCTTGTCTGGTATAACTCTTGACACTATTCCGCCCTTTAGCTGGCGGTTAAGCTATCTCATAAGCCCAGAGTAACTACCTGTCATAAGCCTGCTTACCCTGCATGACCCATTTTGAAGTCCGTCCTCACCATTACTGGTCGAAAGTGCAGAGTTTGCACGGTATGACAAGCCGTTTACATATCACTAGCGAGAACTGAATCTTCTTAATTTAATTATATTGAGTTTTGTAGAGTATAATCTCTGTTTCTGTAAGGTAAGAAGGAGAGAAATAACATAGATCTAGATAACCTTAACCTGCTGTGACAATCATCAACAAACATGACTAGACTAAATAAATAACCTTAACATGGCAATTCCAGCGAAGCTTAACGTTAGTGACAAGGAAGCTCTCTCAAAAGAACCACTGTTATCATTCGAGCCTCCACTTCCCGCCGTAGCTGTCACGGTAGTAGTACCCTCCCCAGTTCTAGCCGGAACATTCGTCGGCTGATCTTGTGCTGATGCTCCCTCCTCAGAGCTAGTTGTCTTAGCCGGCGTAAATGACAAGACACACTCAGCATCAAGAGCGAGTGTATCTCCGACATCGTTGGTGACTTCCATCTCAGGACACGAGAAGGTCGCATCTTCGCCCTGCACCGTGACAGTCTTTGTGCCAGTTTCAGTTTCAGTCTCGGTCTCCCATTCAGTCGTTGTATAAATGGTATAAGGTGTGCAAGAAACTTGTCTGACCAAGGGGTTGTGTCCTCGGTTGACGTGGGCAGGCGCTGTGGCGGCATCACGGCGAAGACGAGCAGCGCTATCGTCAGTAGTGGTGGCCCTTGGGGGCTCGTAATGCAGAGTGCATCCCTCATCAAGTTCAAGTGTCGCACCCTCGTCATTGGTTGCTGTCATAGGCACACAAGTAAACTCAGGGGCGTTGCCAGTGTCGGGCTCAATATCAGTCGTGACGCGAACGGTCTTCATCTTGGTTGTCGTGACTGTCTCCGTGGACTTGATCGTCTTCGTGGCAGCAGGACAGGGCTTACAATACCCATCAGAGCCACAGTAGGCAACTGATCGACAGCACTCTTTGTCGCAACATGTGGTACCCTTTAAGCACGAGCCGTTCTTGCAACACCTTTGAGTAGAGGGGTTGGCGCAGAAGCCAGTTGAACAGCAGTCACTGGACTTTGGACAGGCCCAGACAGTTCCAAGGCCAGTACAGCACGTTGTCGTTCGGGGGTTATAACACTTGCTGTTGCCACATCGCTTCTGGCCAGATGGACAACAGCCACCACCTGGCATGCAGTCATAACCCTTGGGACAATTCCTACCGACACCACCGCAACAAACTGACGTGTTGGGGTTATAGCATCCAGATGAACCGCACTTGGTCTCGCCTCTGCTACAGCATCCTCCACTGACGCAAGTCTGACTCTTCAGACACGCGGTACCGCTGCTGCAACAGACTTGTGATGATGGATCGTAACAGCGGCCGGAGCCGCATTCTTTGGCGTTGCCGCGACAGCAGCCGGTGGAGATACAGGTGCTGCCTTCAGGACAGCATCCGAGACCGCTTGAGCAGGGGTCTACGATCTTATTAGCGACGGTGTATTACGGATTTTTGGGGGTCGCCGTACAGTAACCAGCGTCAACACATTGTTTCTGCCTTGGTTGTAAGCCAAAGGCTCGTGGTTCTGCGATTCCTCCGATCCACTCCGTGAAGTCAGAGAGGGAGTCGGGGAGTACGATGTCTTTCAGCTTGGCATCGGCCAGTGACACCATGTCAGGCAGCTCATTCAACTGAAAGGTGTCGTGGAAGAGTTGACTACCACTCGCCGCACCTGCCCCGGCCCAAAGGGCAAGGGGCGCAATCTGACAGAACCGCATGCTGGGTAAGATGTTTGATTCAATTTTGGGGAAAAGAATAAACAGTAGTCAAGCCTGAAAGCCCTTGCCGCAGCGAGGCTGGCCCGTGGCGCTCAGCAGTCATTTATAACTCGTCGCCAGCGCATTACCCCTCTTCCTTGTGGTGCGATGATCGAGGATCTCCCCTGACCGTCAACCTTGCCAAGAGCAATCAGGCTGAGAAATACAGAGAGTGCAGCCTTTATCTCGCTGTGCTATGCCGAAAGAGAACAGAGGCTGGGGCGGACAGTTAACCTTATGTGACTGGAATGTCCGGGCGTGCATTAGCCGTTGGGGATAGCGCTTTGTGGCGTCCATAGGCTGCAGTTTGACGATGATCAGGCAGAATATCCATCATGCAACCAAGGCCAGGCTGGGTCTCATTCTTTTAGATTCATTTTCTGTTGGAACTAAGAATTAAGTTTATTTAAATAACATATTAGTCAAGAGAATGCCGGTGTTTTGCTTCGTATTCTCGAGCCATTTTACTGATTGTTTGATGATCGCTGACGCGGATCCTCAGCCGCACGACGCATAGGCCCTAACAGGTAAAGTCACTGAACAGGGGCTACATCAAGGTTGAATGTTTAGGTTATAGTGCTTACGCCCGATTGCAGTTGTTGATCGGATTAACGGTCTGCAGGATCAGTAATTCGTCCAACTGTCGCAAGTAGTAGCGCGTGATCAGTTGACGTGCATCTGTACTCATACTAAAAGGACATCATTCCACCTCTTAGATCAACATACCCAGGCCAAGTGCGTGAGAAAATGCTCAGAGTTAGTTATTAGATGCTGCATCAGGGCATTTTCGGATATCGGTGATGCGAACTGGGGTAAGAAACTTGGCACAGGACCCTGGTAATTTAAGGCCGTTGGAAGTGATGTGTCACACGCACCAGTGACATATTTCTCGACGCGCAGGGTAGTCTTGTCGATCGAATAGCAGGGTCCCAGGAAATCGCGCACTGGATTCCGCATCTGGCCTCCGAGGCAAGTCAGCATATCTGAGCCAATCATAAAGGTGCCTCTTTTCCTTAAACTGTCTCTTCTCTATTGTGCCACGTCTGGATGAAACAATAATGGCCCGGCTTTTTCAATCAGACAGCTTATATGGTAGTCCTGTAATACTGCTGTCCCTAGATATTCGTCGCGCATACAGCGCCGCCACGGTGTGTTGCACCAATCGTGTATATGCAGTCTTCTTCCAAGCAAGCTTTTAAGTCTATTTAGAAATACTGATTAAGCTACCGGCCGTCGGCGGCATTGGTTGAGGTGTTAAAGGGGCCAACGTCAAGTCATAAATAAGCTGGGAGGTATTAGCTCGTGGCGGATGCGGCATATGAGAATCGACTGTTTGACCCGCAACTGCCGCAAGAACCGAAATCCAGTTTTAAGCGACCCTGATACGTTATATTGCCGCCTGGCATTACTTACGTAGGTGGCCGAACAGGCAGCACCAGAAGTCGACTTTGCTAAACTGGTAAAATCATGTGATAGTCCTGGTTTGCCAGGCTTAAACTGGCTGGGATTACCGAAGTTCATAGTAAAAAGGACCACTAGGTTAAGTCGCGAGAACGGATACGTATAGAAATATATATACTATCTGAAGGCTTGGTAGACCAGCCTACCTTTAATTCATAGACCAAGTTATTTCATTGACTAGAGGGCCTTCAACCTTCTTTCATGTCCCTGGATCATCTACCGCGCTACTCGAGCTCATCAGATTCAACATCTCCTGCGACCGTAGAAAAGAATCAAAAGACCCATAGGGCCAGAGGCACGAAGGATCAATGGGCATCTGGTTATCAGTGCTGTGATCCACTTGCACAAAACGTTGATGGCAAGTCAAAGATGCATTGTTGTCCATCCCTGTATTGAATGAAGGGCTCTCTGCTGTAAACTTCAAAACAGCATCAACTGCGTCCGCTGAGTCACAGGCAGTTTTTTGATTCATCGAAGAGGACGCCTTGTTCAGTAACTTGGTCAGCATGTTTCGGGCGATCAAAGCACCTTCAGAGACAACTCCCAGAGCATCCAGAATGTTCAGGCACGCCTCGGCTTCACTGAATAGCTCTTGACGTTCCTCGCTAGCGGTCTTAGATGAGACAACAAGGACAGTGCCGGCACACAACAGACAAGATATGATCTACCACCACGGAAAGTCGTGCACTATCTCTCCAATATCCTGAACATAATGGAAGAGCAACGTCGTGCTCCGTGCCTCAGATATACACGTTTCTCTCATACCCAGTACCACCTCTTTCTGTCCGCCAACAAAGCGAGTGATGGGGTCGCCGGGGAGCTCCAGGCCTGAACGATGTATCAAGGTTCGAATATGGTGGTATTTAATAGCAAGCATATTTCTCTGACGCTCAAACAGAATCTGCTTGTCAAAAGCGTGCGCCACATAAAATTGCAAGTGACGGGGTAGCTTTTGCTTCCATTTCTGCAGCTGACCATCCCAGTAAGTAATGCTGGCTAGCTTTATGCTCGTCGACCTCTGTGACATGCTGAGCTCCGTGACAACGAGCTTGACGATTTTGGAGAACTCGATGACGTGTAAGAAATAGTCAACTACGGACTGTTCCTGGGCCTCCAATCGCTCGACATCATCGGTATACCAATTGTGTTTACTATCGTCGAGGTTTGATGGCAGCGGTACGCAAAAGGCTTCGGAGCTGGTAATGGAAGGTCGGCCGAGTTGCAAAGCAAGCAGCTGGTCGAGAACAAAGAGGCAAAACCAGTTTCTACTACGAACCTCGGCTTGTGCGTTACCAGTCAGCCCGTAACTCCAGTGTTTTTGTTGCGATTCCACATGGGAAACGTGCATCCCAAGGCTCTGTGCAAGGCGAATAGCGACGCCGAGAGAGACCCAGCACCTGTCGGTCTGAGAAGTGGCTAGGAGATAGAAACATCGTGCCAGAAGAGCTGAAACTTGTACTGTCGACGCTTCGAGGTTGTGGAGATCTGTCAGCGCGAGTGCCCTGCGAAAAAGGGTCTCATGGGGGCTCGGGGATGTTTTTGAGCCTTTCGACGCTAGATCTCGGGTTTGGCGGTGGTGCATGCCAAGCGCTAGCACGGAATAGAAGAGTGAAAGCCATGCTTTAGTGACAGGCCCATCATCAGTGCCACCACGCAGACACTGGAATCGGTGCATAAATATCGATTTGGGTATAAACGGATAGGCGATATGGATGGTGGAGAAATACGTCTCGAAGTATTCCTGACAATTTTCCAAGCGAGGCATATCAACGGTGAAGTCTGGGATAGTAGTGTAGGCTGTTGCTTCAGACATTCCCGATCATACGTCTCTATGCTGTTGTCCATGGACCCGGTCGAAGAAAGCTCAAGTCTCCATCTAGATAGGCTGAGGAAGTGAACATCACTCAATTCACCAACGTAGCGTGTCGTCTGGCCCTGAACTTCAGGGCTGGTCTCGGTATCATCATCGTCCTTGACGGCATCCTCTGGGCCAGTAGAAAGCCTCTGGTCGCTGATGCAGACAGAAATGCGGTCTAGGAGGCTGGTGACTTTTGATTGTGTTTCCTCTGGCAAGTCTACGCAAGCCTCGCGCAAAAGTCCCAGCCGCTGGTCAATTGATAACGGAGGTTTACCATCGTTGGAATATTTCTGCTGTCGGCCAGTCCACGTGCATTGGAACCCTTAGCCCTGGCAGCGCTCACAGAATGGCCGTCTGTTATCACACTGATGACTGTTAGAAAGCGGCTCCGATCATAGCATGGAATTGATTTGGCGTGGGTGTACTCGCCTTGAGCTTCCGAACGCGACCACTGTCACAGGCGACAGCTGCCCGCTTCCGTTTCAAAGGACGCGGCTGCTTCGGGCTCGGCTGTCCCGGGTTTGTTGAAGTATCCGATTTTTCCATTGAGATATATTACGGGCGATGAGGAGCAGAAGATTGACGGAGCATAATGGGCCTTTAATCACCTAATATCCATTTTTGAGAGCTAGTTGGAATGCGCGATGTCAAAGGCTGGGTAATTTCGGGTACGACGGAGTTAACGGAACGCTGCCGAGACACGGTAGCTCCACCACGCACGTGCGTTCTCAGCGTTGGATTGAGAATCAGCCTGCAATAATAGTTCTTTATATCATGTGAACGATGCCCACTTGAATTCTTCTCGTGATATTGAGGTCAAAAAAGAAACCATGGGTAGCGAGTCGGCAAACTTTGGCCTCTCCAATGGCATAACCGAAGTTGAAGAGCCCGCCCCCATTCACGATCATGGCTTTTTGTATACCTCGAACCATGAACCGCCACAGAATGACCATAGGACCAGTCAAGTAGAACCGAATTCCACGCTAGGCCCGCTAGAACATGTCTTCATTGAAGATGCTAGATCTGAGGCTGAGGAAGAGGGCTATGATTCTCCCGCCAACTATACCAACCTAACCGAGATTGGTGCCGGACTTCCAGTGGAAAGTCCAGACGAACAATCCGAATATTAACACTCGAGTTTAGAGGAACGGCAGTCTCATAGATTGAACTTCTTACACAAACCTCCAAAATCTCGACGTACCTCCCTGGCTACTGAGTTCGTGACCATCGCCTATCTTATCTTCTTTTCTTTCTGTGGCACCCTTACCCTGTGGCACTCCCCAGTCTTACAAGTTTCACTTCTGTCCCCGTCCTGTACACATCGCTCTGGCCTAATCTCACTGGCACTCTCATCCTCGGGTTCCTCTCCGAAGGCGCGAGTCTCTTCCGCCATCCATCGTTGAAAAGAAGCATCGCGAGACCTTCAAGTCCACACCAACAGCCGAGGCCAGAAACATCACCAGTTGAGACTGAAGAGCCAATCGACGCCCAGCGACATAAGGATCAAGAGGAGCAGCCACCGTTGCCCGTTACTCTACACATTGGCTTAACAGTAGGCTTCTGCGGATCTTTGACCACCTTTTCTGGCTTCATGAAGGATTGTTTTCTCGCACTCTACTCTCAAACAGTCTAGGTGAAGAGGGTGGTGCAATATCATCACTTCCAGGCAGAAGCTCAGGCCAAGATGTCATGGCCCTCCTTTCAGTGGTCATAGTGACGGTCTCTGTCAGCGCTGCGGCTCTCAAGGCGGGTGCACATCTAGCCATTTTCTTTCGGAGTGTAATACGAAAACGCCTACCAGAGAACTATACCATTTGGACCGACCCCATCACTGTTATTCTGGCATTTGTTGTCTGGATTGCTGTCATCATTTTACTTATTGTGCCGCCACAAAGCAACTGGCGTGGACAGATTTTATTCCCACTCGCATTTTCCCCGGCTGGATGTATACTGCACTTCTACCTAAGCACACATCTTAATAACAAAGTTCAAGGGTCTCCTCTGGGAACCTTTACTGCTAACATGATTGGAACGCTTCTCCTGTCCAGCATCTGGGATATTCAACGGTCGTCTGTGGGTGGTGGACGCCTTTCATGTCAGGCTCAACAGGGGATGATTGATGGTTTTTGTGGCTGTTTGACCACTGTCAGCACTTGGATCAACGAACTTTGCGCTCTGCCTCGGGTTCACGCATATATCTATGCATTAGCCACAATTGTCGGAGGACTAGTTATTGCTATTGTCGTGATGGGTGCAATGAAGTGGGTTACTGGTTGGAGTACTGTTGCTTGTGCTATCTCTTAGAAACTTTATGTATATTAATATTTAAGATATTTAAGAAAAGTGATATACTTATAGTTCAATCTCTTATGTCTAGAAAACGCTCCTCTACCTAAGGATAGAACTTATCCCTCCCCAAGAGAAGCGATTAGGCTTATATTTAGTAAGTTTAACAATTACTAAGCCAGAATAACGACAGGTAAGCCTGTAACCTCAACTGACAAAACATCCTCGATTCCAAGACGAAAGGTGCTGTAATGGAGATAGCAGTACCCTTTTATAGAATATGAAGGTTACCAATCTGTGACGCAGACGGGCTCGACAAGGTAAAAGTGGTAATAGCCGTGCGGTAACGTTGCTGAATTTAGCCGTACCTCACAGGCTTATGATTTTGAGGTTTGTGTGCTGCTTGTATTCTTAATGCCACTGGAAGCAAACTTAATTATTATTGAGTAGGTATTTGCTTGTCTTCCCAAGAGGTTATTCGCCACTATTCTATTTATATATATATACTATTTAAGCTAAACCTTATGAGAGCCAGTTCAACGTGGCGTGAACTTTGCCGTCCAACGCTAACGTCGAATACAGGGAAACCGGTCGCCCCCAGTACCCGCCAGTATTACTTAGGGAAACGAGGGAGTATTTTTATGGGGCATGCCCCAGTGATCTTTGCTCCACAAATACCAGCCTCCTGGGGGTACTCTGTACATGAGTAGAAATCAAAGTCACGATCCACAGCTTATATTATTAAAGGTACCTTAGTCTAGGTAGAGTGACCTCTTTGCCGAAAATGACTTTAAAATCAGCTACCTGACTGGATTTACCAGACAAAAAAATCTCGTTAATGCTCCCTCGTTTTCTGAGGGATAGCAGAATTAGGTGGATGCCTTTTTACAATAGTAACAACCCAGGTGGCTGGGCTGGTTTCTAGAGGTGGCGGGTTTCGTACTCAACGTTAAAAGTTAAACTTCTCACACACTCGGCGGCTGGAGAGTCGCCAAGGGCTTAATCTCGTGTTAGTGGAGCCGGGAATCGTATGTGTCGCAGATCAGATAGCAGCGTCCCCCAAAGTGTTCGGTTCATCGGCAACGCCAGCGAAAACAAAGACGGCTGGGATAAACGCGGGCAGTTCTATTTCAGGATGATTATGATGTCGGATACGAGGCTTGGCATAGCCCATTACTCTTTTGGGACTGCACTTAATCACTATGGGGATGGTTAAAGCCTAACGTGGATTCTTTTTTTCTGCGCTAGAACCTTTATGATATCATCTGTTCATGACTGCTGTTGATCACGAAAACTCTAATTATACGAGAGGTTGGGCACCTGATGGAGTGACGGATCCTCGGGCTGAAGATGGACGAGATGGAAATATAAAATGCAATGAGACATCTTCAGATAGATCAATTCCATCATCCTCATCACCATCAGCATCTCTACACCTCAGACAAGCATTCAACTCTTTACCCCCCGCAAACTCTATACAACAAATCAGTCCCGACACCCAGACTTCAACATGAACAAGTTCATCATCGCCCTGGCCGTGGCCTCCACAGTCTCTGCTGCCCCTCTATACAGCAGCTTTGATGATTGCCAGGCTGCCTACAAGTCTTGCGTTGCCGCTGGCACCCCAGAAGTTGCTTGCGGATGCACTCTGGCTGTCTGCGCAGGCGAGGATAACGGTCGCAACCGCGAGTACTGCGCTTCTGCTACTGCATCGCTCGCTCAGCCAACCAAGACCGAGATTCCCGGTGGATGCAATCCTGCTCATCCCGGCTCATGTCCTTCATCGTACTTTACCAAGACCTATACTGCTCCTGCTGCGACTTTCACTTCTATTTCTGGTATTCCCGGTGGTTGCAACCCTGCCCACCCTGGTTCCTGCCCTTCTTCCTACTTTACCACGACCTCTACTGCTCCTGCTGCGACTTTCACTTCTATTTCTGGTATTCCCGGAGGCTGCAATCCTGCTCACCCCGGATCTTGCCCATCGAGCTACTTTACATACCCCATCGCTTCCAAGACCTCGGTCGTTCCCGTGCCCAGTACTACCAAAGACTGCTCTGAGGGCTCAGGCTCAGGCTCAGGCTCAGGCTCTGGGGGTACCACTTATCCCGAGCCTAAGCCTGTTAAAGGCGAGACCTGGACCATCAAGGACCTTATTCGCTACTGCGGCGAGGGCAATGAAGGCTGTGATTATAACTTCAAGATCGCTGCCGACGGAAAGACCGAGCAGTGTACTATTATTCGCATGCCCGGTAAAGACGCTGCTACTGAGAGCTGGTCCAACGAACCCTGCACCGACGGCTCTGAATATACTATCTCTTGGGGATATGTGACTGAACCTGCCCCTGCTTTCGCTGTTGTTTCCGTTGTCAAGGGCAAGGAGATCGCCTGGTTTGGTGTTTCCAACGTCAACGGCCAGAAGGTCACTACTACTCCTTCCAACCCCTTCGGCTCCGGACAGTATGGCGACCTTGGTCCCGAGCAGGTTTACACCTACTAGATGGTTTTACAAGTGAGGATGAGATAGGATATACGACACGGTTCATGACTCGAATGATATAATACACCCGCTCATTAAGTAATTTTAGAATTAATATATAGACTTCATTCTTTTAGATAGTTAAAACTTCAATAGAGATATATAAAGGTTTACCAGTCCATCCGTTTCATCATTGTGTCTTTGCCGACGCTTAGGTTCAGTTATCCACTAACAGAGTCCAGCTGGGTAATAACAGTCGTGATATATTTAGCTACCTACGCCATAGGTCGGTCTCACTTGAACAATATTCTGGTCCTTCGACTTATGCCCCATCGCAGCTCTCAGCAGGGCTATTGCCACTTCAACTTATCCTTGTTGCTCGAGTGCAAGAAATGGCGTTCCCTGTGGTGTAGTCGCATGGCCATAGTACAGCCTATCGTTGAATGCATCTTCGGCTGCGCATATAGACTTGTTATTATGCTCGATGATAGCCCGGTCCACCGTGCTAACCCGTCTTTCACATGTCCCACCGTAGTCATTTCACAATAGTCATAGCGTTGAAGAAGTTTCCCCGTGGACCACTTGAAGTCGACTAACCTTTTCAAACATAGATGGAATATATGTATAGAGTTATGCAGATTCAGAATTATTAGCATCTGAAGACCGGCAGTTCTTGAGAAAGCGGGGAGAGTTTTGGCTACCATGTCATAAAAGAAGGTAGGATACGACGCTGTGACCTCATTAGCCAACCATGTTCCGAGTACTTATGTTTAGGCTCAATCGGAAGGGCAAGCAGCCGCTCGGAGATAGTATTACTTATGTATTTGTAAAGCATGTAAGTGGCTGCAAAAAAAGGGTATTCGTTAGCTGGCACGTAGGTTTGTCCGCTTGAAGTTGCATGGCATAGATCTTGGATACTCACAATTGAGCATAAAGCAGCAATCAATGTAAATACTTAAAATTCATACCATCTTTTATCAAGCGTCCTTTGATCTCAGTTCTTCATGAATATTACAGGTCTTATTTCCACGTGTGTTTCTCGTAACCATCACGGAAGTCGATTCGACGCCGATTCTAAACAACCCTGCCTTACATAATGCAATCCAACTACCAATGGCTCCTGATGTATGCCTTTACTCACTTGTATGCCTGCTTTGTACAATAATAACTGTATCTAGGGGACGCGGATGTGGCTTCTCCATATCGGCAATCTCGTGGCAGATGAGGGCGTTTTTCTCCCCTTTGTTAGTGTGCCATTCGATATCTACCCCAACATCCAATCAACACAAGTAGGGAAATATCTGTACCGCTAGCCATCCGATATCGGAGAACAAAAGACGACATTTGGTCATGATTTATGTCCTTATCGAACACCCGAAGATGGGCTGCTCCTTTACGAAACCGGTGCAGGCAAGGATTACACAGAGGTATGGGGTCCCCAGGTGGCCGACATCTTTGCCAGAGGCGAGTATAGCGAAGACTTGGAGCTCGATGCAGCGATTAAGAAGATTGCCCATGACATCAAAGATGTCAAGGGTGTTATCATGGGGCATCTGCACTTGGATCATGCAGGTGGGCTTGAGTACTTCAGAGGTACTGATGTGCCTATTTACGTCCATGAGATTGAACTCAAAAATGCCTTTTACAGTGCCGCGACCAAGGTAGATATTGGTACTTGTACCATCAAACATCCATCACATTGAACTGACCAGCTGTCGCAGGAGTTTACCTACCAACCTATCTCCAATTCGACCTAAACTGGACACCCCTCTACGGCGACAGCATTCTCAACGCATGAGGCATCACAGTGCACTTATGCCCCGGTCATACTCCAGGACTATGCATTATGCAAGTCAACCTGAAAGAAAGTGGTACCTCGATCTTCACTTCAGATCTGTACATTGTTCAGGAGAATTATGATAACCTTAGCACGCAGGGTTGGTTGACGAGAGACCATGCTGCTTGGTCTCAGTCTAATCAGCTGGTGCACATGTTGCAGAAGGCGACAGGCGCGAAAGTGATTCTTGGGCATGATCGAAATGTTTTGATGCGGCATAAGCTTGCTCCGGAGTACTACGAGTAGATAGTGGTTATGTCTGGTGGCGTATAATGGCGTTTTTAGGCGCTGGAAGGTGAGAACTCGGGTTTCTGGTTACTTCTCTCAATGAGGCCAAGCTATCATAAACACCAATTACTATTAGTATCATCCTATGTACAGTAATTCCAAGAGTAAGCTGTTTTGAGACACCACTCTCTAATATGTATAGCAACGGCGTCTCTAGCCACATCAGCGACCTCAAGCAGTCTGACAGTCATGGCACTCATAACAATCCAAGTCACTCCACCAGAAAGAATAAGGAACGTCAAGGTCAATACCCTCAGTACCAAGCTTATAAGTCGACAAAGCACAATTGACGTTAAGTGGGTTGGAATTATCAAGACCAAAGGCCTCACAGTAACCCTGCTCACGACACAAAAGAGCACAGTCCTCCATGGTGTGCTGACGTCCGTTCTCTTGGACACCACGTCCCCACCAGCTGCCCTTCTTGACACCGAAGGCGTTGCAAGTTCGCTCCACGGGAGGTTCGACATCATTGTCGCTCTGGGGCCAGTGGTCAAGAATACCGGGGAGGGAGACGGATTGCGTAGGGAGGCTGTCGAGCGGTTGGCAGAAGCCGGGGGCTGCAATGCCGCTGGGGCATGTCATGACGGTAGCTGTAGAGCTGGCAGACTCTGTGGTGGTGGTGGTGGTGGGAGGCTGTATAACGGGGGCTGAAGAGGAAGTAGACTCGGCGGCCTGAGTGGTCCTCGTGTTGAAGGTTGTAGGTGTATCAGTGACAGCTTTGGTAGGAGCCCGGCACGTCATCTCTGGGACCACAACATTGTCATTGGTGAGAAGACCGTAAGTGGCGAAACCCATGTTCTGTCCACAAGCCCAGCAGCCGATATCTGAGAAGTAGTCTCTACCGCCCTCTTCTGTGATCTCATCGACAGTACCAGCATACAGCTTGCAGTTTCCTTGAGACAGGAGATAGTTGTAAAAATAGGACTGACAATCAGCATACATGGCACACATGTCTCTGCACTGATCACCGCCACCGCAAGGCTGGACAGTAAGAGTCGCGAATTCCTGAGCGCAAGACTTGAGCGTTCCCTTGCGACGGACACAGCCCTTGTTGGGAGTGTCACCCATCTTGTTGATACAGATACTATCCTCGGGAAAGCTAGGGCAGGGCTTGGGGATGATACAGCTGCGATCATAAGAGGTGAACTGGGTACCAGTGTTGCCAACAGGGACGTCACTCAAGACAGAGGCAATGAGACGGCACTCATTAGCGCAGTTGTTGCCGTAGCTCCACTCAAAGGACTTGCAGTTCTCATCAGCGAGACATAGGGCAGCACAGTCTTCCTTCTGGTAGTTGCTGCTTGTGAAGCGGCTGTATGCTCCGGCGCTGTTGTAAGGCTGCATGCCGCATCCGCGACCGGCGATGGAGGATGTACCGACGTTGGCGCAGACGCGGCTGACGGGACCATCGGGCTTGATAGTCGAGGATTGGCGAGGAGAAGAGCTGCCGCTTGATGTAGTGGCGCTTGTGGCAGCTGACTCAGTGCTGGTCTGCTTCTCGATGCTTGATGTAGTAGTCTGAGCTCCTGGAGTTTGAGTGCCGGGAGTTTGAGGACCAGGCTGGGAAGTAGCTTGGGTGTTGCCTGCAGCAGAGGTCTGACTGTCAACCGGACCGGGCGTATTGTGTCCAGTAGGAACAGTTTGAGGGCTGCCAGTGACTGGCGTATGATTGCCAGTGGATTGGGTATTGGGGCTCCCAGTACCAGGTGTAGCAGAGTTCGAGGCCGTATCAGAGCTCGCAGAATGGGTTGGAATGATGGGAGGAACAGAGGTAGTTCCGACCTTGCTCGAGGTAGTCGTTTGAATAGCAGAAGAGGAAGTAGTAGTGAAGCCAGAGACATCCCCATCACCAAGATCAAGAGGATGGTCATCAATAGTCGCAGGCGTAACCTGGTTAGACATGAAAAGAGAGTCAACATAAACCTGAGCAGACCCTCCAACCAAGCAGTTCATAGAGATGGACAGAGGTGCAGAGCGCTGAGCAGCAGTGACCTGCTCCAGAGCCACACCCCACTGCACGCTCGTTCCAAAGCTGATGATCCAAGTCTGGAAGAACGTCTGGCTACCAAGCGAAGCAGTCAATTGGCAAAAGTTCAGCGACGGGGCGGTGACGACCAAGTAAAAGAAGCGAACAGTATAAGGTCTAGTCAAGCTCAGCTGATCAAGCGACTGCGCAACGCCAGCAAAGCTTCCAAGATCTCGCTTCTTATCGCCACTAGCCTGCAGGGACAGACAGCCCGAGTCTTTGCTGCCATCAACCTTGTAGCCCGGTCCAATTACGATGGTCGCGTCGCCGTCGACAGTGAAACCTGGGACACCGCCTTCGGGGGGAGCGATGGAGAAAGCGCCGCCGTCGATGATGCTCTTGATGATGATTGATCCGGCGGTCTCGGAAGTAGCTGCTGAAGTCGCGGTGTCGGAGGGAGAGAGGTTTGTTGTAGCGGAGCTGTGAGAAGGTCGAGGCTTGCAGTTACTTGCAGCAGCTAGATCAAGGGTGCCGCTAAGGGCCAGAGCCGCGAGAGCTATGACGGAGCGCATCGTGAAGAGCGTATAGGGAAGATGAAAGAGTGGCTGTGAGGACGAACTCTCACGAATGATGCGGATACTACGAAAGGAAAAGCGACATGGTAATCTTCTGGGAACCAGTCTTATTATGTCTGAGCTAATCGTCGGTTACACGGCAGATATGGACATTGCGCTTTGCCCCTGACTTGTGAGCGGACAAACAATAGTTGCCTATAGCTTCTAAATAGATCCATTGCGTCGGGTCTTAGGCCGTTATTCAGCTCAGCCATGGAACCCATTGGAGGATAGTGGCCGATTGAAAAAAGGGTCTGGATTGGACATTTATGCTTAATCAAGTGTAGCGTCAGGGACTGTGGCTATCATTTCCTCATGCGTTTCCTCTTCGGGAATACGAGATGAGAACATCACTTTACGACAACAAGAAGTGGTTACATTACTGTAGCTTAAATATTCTATTGATCTGTTTGTTTTGTAGTGTTTAATAGATTATCATTTATCATACAATACATCTCAACCAATATCGAATGGCGGCATGCTTCTTAGGGCTGTTAATGTCTTGCTTGATCCACTCCCAAAATCTAGAACCTTGAGGTGTCGCGCTTGGTCAAATAGCGTCACCAATAACTCTCCCATTCTGTCACTGGGCTGAATGCGACCCCTGAAAATGCAAAACTTCCCATGATATCGGAAATGACTTTTTTTTAAGCGCAGGCCCACGCCCAGAACCAAGTCCACACGTGAGCTCCATGTCAAAAAGAACCCTAGAATTTAAAGTTAGAGTTGCCTCAAGATCTTAATACCCTAGGGCTGGATAAGGTTATTTGCCATGAGTAACGGCAGATTCACTTTTGTGTGCGATTCTCAAACTTTGATACTGATTTGTTAGATGTTTACTACAGGCTACATACTTTGTTAGGGAGGGACTGAATCAAAGCTTGACCTTCTCGGAGCAGATATCATCCGTTTGGCAAGGTTTTCAGGTCTAAAGTTGACCAAATCAGCAAGCAAAATATTGAAAGTCTCTCGGCGCGTCACGAAAGTAATTCTTCATGGAAAAGACGTACATACAACATGATAAAAGAATATAAAACCAGTACAAGAGTTCTAAAAAATCCCTTCCTTGAACCCAGTCGCTATCACTTCTACTGCTACCTACACCTTTTTAATCTCTATCACATACAAACCTACACAGGAAAATGGAAATGCGAAAGCACTTATTGACCAAAAAGCAGAAAAGGGAACCACCAAGAATGGAAAGCCCAACCTCAGACATTGAGGTCATCAACACCATCCAAGGCGTCAAATCCCTCGCCGATGGCATCGCAGTTCTCAACGCCTCCCACAAAAATGAAGTGCCACTACTCTACATCGACATCGAGCCAAGGAGTCTCGGCGCAAACGGAGAACTCAACCTCTTGACGATCATCCTATGCCATGGGCCAGAACATCGTTGCCGTCTTTACCTCGTCGACGTCAACCGCCTCGCAAACCAGGCATTTTCCACGCGAGGATATCACGGCGCTAGTTTGCGAAGCATCCTTGACTCTTATTCTTACCGAAAGGTATTTTTTGACGTTGGTTATAGCTCGTATATTTTATTTACGCAGTATGGCATTGAATTGCAGGGGGTTCGTGACTTGCAACTCTTGGAGAACGCTTGTTCGTCACTTAAGTGCCATAGACCGGAGTTGGAACCTTTCGAACCACTGATTCAGAAGTTGCTCATGCACGGCAGATCCCGAAAACGATGGCTTGTCCACAAGTTCAACGGGGAGTGGCTGGATAAATACGGCGCTGGGGGCCTGTATGCAGCCTTTCAAAAGCGCCCGGTGATGGAGAATATCGGACTATACTGCTGTCGAAATGCACGATTCATGCCGGAGTTGCATTCGAAACTCTCACGTACGAGCTTTCTCGGGATGAAGGATATGGTGGCGCAAGAGTCAAAGAACCGGGTTGATGATAGTCAGAGAGATGGGTATAACCCATTCGCGAATGGACGGCTTAGAAATCCTTGGACAGTGGAGCAAAATCAGAGGTTTGATTCTCAGGTGGGGAAGAACATTATTTTTAGTATGAGATTGGGCAAAGGTATTCTGTCCTAAGAGGCGAGGACGACCAGGAACAGGATATTTGCGACTTAAAACTCTGGAGCCGTCTGTTGGTAGTCGCTGAAATGCTTTTCAGTAGTGGTCAAGTACTACTTGCTGCTAACACACAACACATAGATATGATTGAGAAGAATAATAAAGAGTACGCTTTATTTGTCATTCCACTACCCGTGATATGGGAGATGATGGACGAGAATAGAAGCAAGGGTTACAATTTTTCAATTTCGAAGATCTTTTAGTGACATGATACACCTTTCACTTATCCCAGGGTTTACAGGCAGATAGCTGCTTACGGTATTCTCAAGACTACTCTTCCAGTGATCTCCTGCCGTTTCAAGCCCTCAATAACAACCCCCACTTCCTCAAACTCGAGAACCTTGACCTCCGGGGCTATCGTTCCTTCAACAGCATGCTGCAAAAGTTCTTTCATCTGCTCTTCCGTGCCAACCGCAACGCCGGTAACAGTAAGTGCTGATCATTGAGTGAGTAAACATCAGTAGAGAACAATAGAAAAAATACTTACACCTTGCAGAACATACTGTGGCAGAGAGCGGGATGCTGAAGTCATTCCTCGGCAGACCAATCGTGACGATGATGCCCATATTTCGTACCAGACTCGGTGCTTGGATGAAGGCTTCTTGAGAACCAGTCACCACCAGAACAGCTGATGCTCCCTCTCCCGTTATTTCCTTCACTCTTTCCTCGACGTTCTCTGTTGCAAAGTCGATAAAGTGCTCAGCGCCACTATCCAAACTCAACTTCCGTCTAGACTCTCCAGTATCAACAGCGATAACCCGCAGACCGTTCAACCTACTAGCGATCTGTACACCCAAATGTCCAAGCCCACCACCAGACCCAGAAATAACAACCCAATCACCCCTCTCAGCATATCCCGTCAGCTTCGACACGGCACCAGCCATCGTCAACCCAGCACAAAGCAAAGGCGCAGCGACTTCACCAGCAAGACCGTCTGGAATCTCAGTCACGTATCTCGCATCAGCGATCATGTATTCCTGCAAAGTACCCGGGACATGTTTTCCCGTGTTAAGCTGTTTGGGACAGTTATTGGCATAGCCTCTTTTGCAAATGGTGCATGTCCCGCAGGCGCTGTAGAGCCATTTCACGCCGACTCGCTTGCCAAATAAGCCAGCGTCAACTTCTTTGCCGAGTTTTACCACTTTCCCTACACCCTCGTGGCCTACTATAGGGTCATAGGGACCCCATCCTGATAAAGCACGGATTTCCGAGCCGCTGGTAGAGTTAGTTTATGGATCCCGTAGTAACAGTCATGCTTACCAAAGACCAGTAAATTCAAGCTTTACAAGTATCTCGTTTTCCTGAGGGTCAGCAACCGGTATATCCGATCGAAGAACTATACGTGCATCAATTCCAGGGTTTTCGATCAAAGCTGCCTTCTGGGTTGATGGGATTGAAGAGCTCATGGTGAGAATGGTGTTGAGCTGGTAGGTTCGCTGGGCTTGAGCGGGCTTAAGAGCCACTGTAAACGTTGATGGCGGGGCTGGAGATTTAGTGGATTTAGCAGCCGAACTAAAGTGCCGTTCCGTGAAGCTTGCCGATAAACATGCCGAACCCGGATCAACGTTTCTACGCGGAATGGATACGGACCTGTAGATTGAACAGTCAAAATATCATCATGAAGTTTGCAGCAATGATCGTATTCATCATGTTTTATTTGCTGCCACTAAAATCGAGTTATCTGTTTCTTGTGGCTGCAGGCTGTCCTAAGTATGCCCAGCGATAGGCTTAGCTTGATACAACTCCTCCAGATACTTCACCTCATCATCACCCAACTTCTTCCCCCTAGCCCCAATAGCCTGCTCAATCCTCTCAACACTACTAAACCCAATAATCGGACTCGTAACCCGCTGATTAATCCAAGCCAGCGCAACATGCGCCATAGGCCACTCATGCTTCTCCGCAACCTCAACAACCCTCCCAATAATCCTCTGATCAGTCTCCGACAACTCCCCAGACCCTTCCTTCTCCTCCCTACTCCTCTCCGTAGCTCCAAACTGCGCGGGCGGTCGCGCAAGATGTCCTCTACAAAGCGGCGCCCACGGAATAATCCCAACGCCCGTATCGTTGCAGAAACGGATCATCTCACGCTCTTCCTCGCGGTATAGCAGGTTATAGTGGTTCTGCATGCTAACGAACTTGGTCCAGTTATTTTTTTCGGCGACGAATTGCATGCGTGCGAATTGGGTTGCCCACATGCTGCTTGCGCCGATGTAACGCACTTTTCCGGATTGGACGAGGTCGTGGAGTGCTTTCATGGTTTCTTCGAGGGGTGTGTCGTCGTCGAAGCGGTGGATTTGGAGAAGGTCGATGTAATCTGTGTCGAGGCGCGCGAGGGATGCGTTGACTTGGTTGAATATAGCGGCGCGGGAGAGACCGTATTGGTTCTGGTAGTCTTTTGAGATGGCGAATTCGTCTTTGAAGTTGATGTGACGAGCGCCTGTACAGCATCAGTATAGTGAGCGAGATTGAGGGAGACGGCGCTTACCTGGTTCTTCGCCTACGCCCCAGCGGCATTTACTGAGGATGACGACCTTGTGGCGGGGAATGTTGAATTTCTTCAACGCTTTGCCAACGATTTCCTCCGACGCGCCATTGCTGTAAGTATTTGCGGTATCCCAAGTGTTCAAACCGCGATCATAAGCAGCTTCAAGAAGTTCCAGGGCCTAGAAAGCTGTCAGCGACATGTCTCTGCTACAAATTGGCGTTATACCTCATCCTCTCCGATAACCCAAGGAAGAACCCTCTTATCACCAAAGCTCATGCATCCAAAGACGGGGACAGAAATGCGCAGACCCGATCTACCAAGATTGCGGTACTCGCATTTCGAAGCCTCGACGGACTGTTTGAGATGAGGGGGGAGTTCTTTTGCGGACATTTTGGTGTTGAAGAGTGAAAGAGCGAGGTTGGGATTATAAGAGGGAATAAGAGAGTATTAATGAAGTAACATATGGCGTGATAGACGGATAAACAGATAGCAATGTCATCATTATGTTGCGTGCTGTAGTACCCCGCTGCTGGCGTTGGTTGTATCAGTGCTTATTTGCTATCTTGTGCATGAAGCTATTCCCAGTCTGTACACATCGCTTAGGCTATTCTCCATTACAACACTGATCAAAACAATCATTACCTAATCATTTCTGACGTATACCTTACAACCAACGTTGGTCGACATCAATTATAAAATCAGAGGATATTCCTAGAACTTCTTCATCAAATGGAAACTCCTGCTGTGTAACGAATCAGAGACAAAGGAAGACGGTCTCGTGAGACTCTCACCCCAAGATTGGTCCTCTCGCATCAGCTAAGCCAATTCTGCTCCTTGGCTCCGGCGTGGAGGCCCTCAAACCGCTTAGCTCACACCGTTCTAGCGTCTGCCAAATCTTGCGGGGATTGATCTCCATTCTGTGGGGAAGACTGTCGGCAAATGCCATCGGATCCCGGGGGACAGGGAGCAGCTGACGTCTTGCTTTTCAATCCGAGGATTGCGAGTTGACAACTTTGATCCAGCATCATCAGACCGATATTCGACCCCCCGGACTTACTCTACACTCGTATTGAGGATTTGGGAAAATGCAGGCGACAAAAACTATGAGGAAACGAGTCTCGAGAGCTTGTAATTTGTGCCGGGCGCGAAAAGTGCGGTGCATCATTGAGAATCCGGCTGGTCCCTGTGTCAATTGCAGACACAACGACAAAGTCTGCACATTCAAGCGCCGCCATGGAATAATGTACGCTCCATCCTCCCTCCAAGACTTCTAATCTAACTCAATCAACAGATCAATGACGCCCTCACTGCGACCAAACGAACCTCCGACGCCCCGATCAATCGAAGAATCAACCACCACGACATCCGAACCCCGAAACATCCTCCCCGCAACACAAAGGCCCTCGCCACCACTAGCCCCTACAACAATCGCACAACACCCGCCAAATTTCGCCGCTGGGTCGCCAACGCATCCCGATTACGCATTCCTCCAAGTCCCCGACACAAAAGACCTGTTCCCGCAGGATTTAGCATTCCTCGTTAGTCAAGGATGTTTTGTGGTTCCGCAGCGCGCGGCGCTGGATGATTTTCTGAGGCAGTATTTTCTGCACGTCCATCCGATGCTTCCGATTCTGAATGAGAAGGATTTTTGGCTGTCGTATAACTCGGTGGATAATGATGTGGAGTATGAGATGCCGATGTTGGTGCTGCAGGGGATTTTGTTTATTTCTTCCGGGGTAAGAGGCTCAATTGGAAGATGTGGATGAAGCTGACGGGTATAGTTTGTTTCGTCGGAGACGATTAAGATGCTTGGCTTTGAGGATGTCCATCAAGCCAAACTCGCATTCTACCGTCGATCAAAGGTACGACCTCCTCCCTAAATATGGATACAATATCCCTAATAAATACAGCTCCTCTATGACTTCAGCGTCGAAAAGTCTTGCATCGCCATAGCCCAAGCCTCCCTCCTCCTCGCGCACACACACCTCATCCCCCGCTGCATAGCAGGCAACAAGCCCCTCGGCTCAATCTGGCTCGGCATCGCCATATCCTACGCCCGCGTCGCCAAAGCACACTGCTACTCCTCCCTCCGCCCCAACAAAGACACCGAAGTAGCCAAGGTCCAAAAACTACGCAACACCCTCAAGCGCCTCTGGTGGTGCTGCATCATCTGCGACCGCCTCCTCCCGCTAACATCGCGCCAGAGCATAAAAATCACACCGTCAAACTTTAGCTTTTCGTGCTCAAAGTTGGGAAGTGCGGATTTATGCGATGAGTTGTATAATTCTGATGTTTATGATTCTACGACGAAGACGCTGCATGCGGAGTTGCTTTCGAGGCTGGTGGATCTTTGTGTGGTTCTGACGGATGTTTTGACGGTTACGTCGGTGCTGTATAATAATCCGTCGTGGATGTTGTCGGGGAGGATGGAGGTTGGGAAGGATGCGAGTTTGTGTCAGATGGAGCTTTGCAGGTGGTATAGTTCGTGGAGTGAGACTAAGACGACGTTGGATGAGAGGATGGCTGAGGATATTTCTCCGGCGTCATCGATTATTTTGTTCAAGAATCTCATTGAGATGTACTACCAGTGAGTTTGTCTGGGTAAGATGAGGACTATAGAAGCTGACATTTACAGTTCGGCGCGGCTCTCTGTATGTCACTACAACATACTCCGATCAAATTTACTACCGCCGTCTCAATCCGATACGCAACTACGACGACAAAGCGAAGATCTTCAGGGCTCAGCATCGCGCGTGACAGAGTGTCTACTTGAATTCGACCGTCTAGGGTTATCACGCTGGCTCCCAATGACTGCGTAAGTCATTCCTCATAAAACCTCAACTTATTACTAACGGTATTCAGCATCGGATGCACAGCCTTCCCACTGGCACTTCAGATGATCGACGTTGAACTTCTCCGCCCCAAAAAGCCAGCATCACCGGAAGAAGGCGTCAAACTCACACAAAAAGAACAACACGTCGAGAATATCCTCAAACAGATGAAGAGCTATAAGAAGAAATATTACATCACAGACTGGGTCATGCGAGCTATTCGACATGTCGTTGAACTGGCCAGACAGCGATCACCTGCACCGATGTCAACCGAGGACGATTCTTCACCGAGCAGTTGTCTCGATATGCTCAAAACACGACCGAGTTACTACCTTCGACTCGTCATGACGCTTGATATGAGTATCAGCAACGGCAGACTCCCAGACGAATGCGACTTCCCCCCATCGCTACGAAAAGCAGGTCGTGGGCTGAGCTCCAGATCTCAAGCAACGTCCATGCCAACAGTCGACGAACAATCGATGAAGCGATTCTCCGCCATGAACAAACATCTCATCCCCGACAATCTAACAGACCACAGCAATTTCATATCTAACAACATGCAAGCCCAAGATTTGCGCACCATCGACCAAGAAGCGTTCTTCAACAACAAACAGCCCTTCCCCGCTGATTTAACAGCGGCGTTATGCGAGATTACGAATATTCCACCGCTGGACTTTAGCGATATGTCTTTGATGGATTCAACACATTTTAATGACTTTGGGGGTGTTCCGTTTTGGCCGTATGATTTATTGGGGTCGCCGCCTGATCAGGCTGGGACACAGGTTGAGGAGGTTGGGTTGGGTGATATGTTTACGGGACTGATGGGCGATATGAATGATAAGACTTATGATGGGAATGGAAAGGAGAGTGCAGCGAATGATATGATTATGGATTCTTTTTGAGCGACGCATGTATTATACTGGGAAGGATTATAAAAGCACTTGTTTTCCTCGTTTGAGAGATTTATCTTCGTGATTGTTGACTATCTGTCTACCACTTCACCAACTCTTGAACCTTGACAGGCATACCGCTCTTCATACTATGATTCGCCCCAACACCCACCAAAACCGCATTCCCTCCATCCCGAATATTAGCAGCCCTCTTAAAATTATCAACCTCACCCCCCAAAAGAACATCCTTCAACAAAACAGGATCACCGCCTCCATGCCCACCCTCCGTCTTCACAACATCCACAACATACGGCTTGTCAAACAGCGGATAAACAACAATCTTGGTCTGCTCAACTCCGCCCTGGATATACTTCTCATCCTCACCCGAAGCGTCCTTCGTTACTGGATCGCCGAGGGGGTTGTACCCGCTCTCAACGACGTTGACTTCGATACGCCCCTTGCTGCCGTTGAAGACACACCTGTATCCTTCCCACGGGGCGTAGGCGTATGTGTTGTATGTCATGACGGCGCGGTTCTTGTACTTTATTATCATGGAGAGGTTGTCCTCGATGGTGATTCCCTCTGCGAAACAGTTCCTGTCGCGGATGTAGCCATCTTCGTGCTCAGCGTCAAGATACAACTTCTTCATGCGTTCATTCTCATCAAGCTGGAACGCAAAGGGGTCGTTCTTCGCATTCTCATTGTTCTGATACCGCTCACCGAGATTCTTCTCACCTCGTCGCTCAGCGTTTTCTTTGCCGTAGAAACGAAGATCGCCGAGGCAGTAGACGAGCTCAGGCTCAGTGTTGAGCCAGAAATGAACAAGGTCGAAGTGATGAATCGACTTGTGCATCTGGATACCTCCACTAGTCTCTTTATGTCGATGCCAGCGTCGCATGAAATCTGCGCCGTGGGCACAGTCGAGAATCCAGTCCATGTGGACTGTTGAAATCTCGCCGATGACGCCAGAGTCGATGAGTTCTCGGACTTTGGTATGATGCGGCGCGTACCGATAGTTGAAAAGAACACGGACTTGTTTCCCCGTCTTCTTCTCTGCGTCGATCATAGCTTGAAGCTTGAGCTCGTCGATAGTCATTGGCTTTTCCGTAATGGCATCGCAGCCTAGCTCCATAGCTCGAATGCAGTAATGATGGTGGAAAAGATCAATGGTCGTGACGATGACAACATCGGCTTTTTGCTCTTGGACCATCTTGTCAAAATCTGTGTCTTTGTAGGTCTGCACTTTTTCACCGCCGAGCTCGACGATGTGCTCGTTTGCTACGTCCATGCGAGTCTGGTTCGTATCGCAGATTCCAACGAGCTTGGCAACGTCTTTGAAGTCCTGAATAATAGCTTGGTAATACATAGCCGAGCGAACGCCCATGCCAACAATGACATAGCGCTTAACCTGAGTTGTAGCCATGATAAAATCAACAAAGTCCAAATATTGTGTATGAGTGACGATGAATGAACAACCCCTCATGAACGCGAGGAGATATAAATACTCAAAGAGGTAATCCGACGTCGGATTACTCAGAAGGAGATACCCCGCGTTGATTCGGGGGAGTATTTGCCGAACGAGGTACGTTACAACTGTCAGCATGAGAGGTGGAGAGGGTTGCTTGGCTGAAGTGCAGATCGGGCTTGATTTGGCCAGTTACATTGGAACATCAAGATTCGTGGCATTCATCGTTGGATGATTTGGGGGATTTGTTTCCACTGTAATTTATGGTCGGTCGCTATTTTTGAGACCGAATTGGATCAAAAGCCTCACAATGTTGAGATCAACGATGGGTCTGAATATCGGTCGCGGGAAGAAGACCGATTTGCATGATGCAGAGGTTGGGTGTACAAATGGTATTAGTGGCTTTGGGGGAGATACCCATGCTATGAAAACAGTACCGCAAACAGCTTCCAGGAAGATCCAGAGGCCATCCAATTGCTTTAGAATACATACAGGAATTCATCGTTAACCAAATCCGTCATATCATCAAACGCATGATCTCCCACCGTCGCATCCCTCGCATTTTCGATGTGCTGTCCCTCGGTCGCCTTGGACCTTCGAAGACGATCGGCTTCTTCGGGTGAGTACAAGCTGTAGTTTACAATCACTGCGTCTTTTCCGGCCATGACGCGACGGCGACTGTGATCGCGATTGAGGTAGGTCAGATACATGGTCGTAACAACAACAAGACCTACAATTGCGATGTAGAGAAGCAGATTCCAGTATAATCCTCTGTGATACTCGGGCGCCTCTGATGGTTTGTAGAGAAGAGGGCCAATGATGTTTCCGAGAGATTGGCCGATGAAGAGGACGGATGAGTTGCATTTGCCCTTGGTGTCGCCTGCGGTGTTGGAGGACGACCATGAGTAGATCAGAGGAACTGCAAAAAGTCAGTGTGGGGAGCAGATGTAATGGGAAGAGACGGACTTATTCCTGGGAAGACAGAGATCATGTAGTATCCGCCAAGCAGAGTATTCCTTCCATCAGGTGTATGGGGCGTTGATAACATGATCATGCAACCAACAATTGGAAACAGAGCCAGAAACGCAATGACTGGGCCTTTTTTATGATATTTGGTCGCGACATACGAGCCTCCAACTGTAGAGATGAACTGAACAACACCAAATGGGGCATTGAAGAGGATGGCATGGAAAGAGTCGAAGCCAAAGGATTTGATGAGGAGAGGGCCAAAAGAGCCGACGCCACCAGAGGGTACTCTACAGGTTAAAATGTCAGCAAGTGATCCGGTACGGGAGATGAATTACGTACGAAATGCTGAAGATGAGAGAGAACCAGAGCCAAGTCTTTAAATCTCGCATGGTCTCCCAGAAATGGTCCCATCGCCATTGCCGCGACATGACACCAGTCTGATTCATTCTTAGTCGTTCAATGGCGATAAGTTTATCGTGCTTATCAAGAAATTTCGCTTCGGCGGGAGAGTCGGGCATATATGAGAATAGAACAGTGGAGAAGCAGACGGTGATGATTCCAAAGGCGACAAAGATGGTCTATCTCGTCAGTAACCCGTCAGTACAGAGAAGACTGTTCTCAAGCTCACCTGGTACGGTTTCAGTCCAAACGGTAGCTGCGCAAGCCACCAAGTTGCCAAACTCCCAAACTAAACCCGTCAGTCCAGTGCACTTCCCCAGGGTACCTCTCAACTTACAACACCAGTGAATCCATTCATCGCATACCAATACGACATTCTAAGAGGCTGCTCTCTCCTCCTCCAGAACATCTGCGTAATAGCCACAAAACTCGGCGCAATACTAGCCTCGAAAGCACCGAGCCAGAAACGTGCGAAAAGCAGACTGTGAAAGGTATGTGCCGCCGCCATGAAGGTAAGGGTCAAGCCCCAGAGTGTGACCATGCAGCTTGTGAATTTCCCAATGGGCAGTTTGACGAGAAGCCACGCTAGCGGGAATTGCGCGATGAGTTGAGCGACGTAGACTATTGAGCTGAGCCATGAGAATTGATTGCCCTTTAGGTTTGTGTCTTCAATAAGGCCGAAGATGGATGCATATGCGATAGTCGCTTTATCAAGACCTGTAGATGTCAATATTATTCCTCAACGGATAATATGAGATTTCACCTTGGAGAAAATAGACCGCTAGCATGAGCGGCAGAACAACCATATCAATCCGCCTCAAAACACGCGCATCATCCTCAGGCGTGACTTTGATCCTCCTCTCAGGCGAAACACCAAGTCTCCGCATCAGATCCGCGGCAGCGCCTTCGGGATGACTTCTCCCGCGCGCTTCTTCGCCGTCTACGAGATCCATTAGTGGGTGTTGGTCGTGAGATGACGCGCCCGGGTCAGGCGAAGTGGAGCCCAGGCCTCGCGCTGACATTTTGATGGAGCCGGGATCAATCGAGTTTATTGAGTAGTGGTAAAAGGAGATGAATGAATTAATGAGTGGAGGGTTGAAAGGACAGGTTTATGTTGAAATGGGATTCTTGGGGTACAAGGGATGGGAGAGGGAAGATGACTGGTGATCTTGGCCAATCATGAGTGGTTAAGCTGGGGAATCGAGACGAGTTAGATAAGCAGATAGTGGTCGGGATAAGATCTAGGGTAGCTAAGCTTGAATTTGATGATGGCAGGCCTTGGAGCAATGCGGAATAAATATTGTGAACTTGATTAAATAAATAGAGATTGAGTTTGTGATTTTCTATCATCACTTGAGTTGATTGAACGGGGTCAGGTCTAGAATTCGTAGTCGCGCACTTTGATATCTTGTGAGGTCGGTCAATGTATGTCAGCTAGCTTTAACCGCCAGCTGAGGTTTGATGCTCATGGACTCCTGTTAAATTCAGCCCAAATCATCCATGCGACACAGCATTGCCATAACTAAGAGCCAACTGCAACAAACTTGATATTCTCAATGCCGTGAGACACGAATCTCGTAAATGCTGCATACAACGATATTATAGCATCATAGCAACGATTAACTGCATCGACACACGTGGATCACGATACTACGTCATCCGCCACCCCCACCTTCAAGCTTCATAAAACAAACCAGGTTTCCTAGCTCATCAACCCCATCAAGCCACATCTTAAAACCCCATCCTTCCCAAAAAATCACTTTTAATACTTCTCCATGAACGAAGCACTAGGATCAATCTTCTCCGGCGCAATCCCAAGCCAATTCATGGGCGGCCAAGACAAGCCCGCCGACGGCGCGGCCCCCTCAGAGAGCAAGTCCAACACCCAAGAGCGCATCGCCAAAGAAATCCAAACCCGCGTGGAAGAAGCAAAAGGCCTGCAGCAAAAATCGCTCGACCTGCATGAAAAAGCCGACAACACAGAAGATCCCGAAGAAGCGGAGAATATACGGCATGAAGCACGCGAGATCGATAAGAAGGCTGCTAAGTTGATGAAGATTGCGGAAAGGCTGGAGAAGGGATGGATACAGGGCGGTGCTATGGGGACGGGGATAGGTGCGGGTGTGGCGAGTGGGCTGGGGTTGGGCGTTGGAGCGTTGTTGACGGGGGTTGTGGCGATTCCGACGGCTGGGTTGGGGTTGCTTATTGGGGCGGGGACGGGGCTTGCGCATGGGAGTTGGGTCAAGTTTACGGATGCGTTTACGAAGGATGAGGCTGATGAGATTGTTAGTGAGGCGACGGAGGAGGCTGAGAAGATTGCGAAGGGCTAGGAGATCTGAGAGTTTGAGTCTGGGAATGGAGAAGCACTATCAGAGATGGAGGTTTACGTCAAGTCGGGTTATTCAGATTGCATATGGTCACAAGGTCGCCGCTAGCCATCAATTTCATTCTTTCGTTGGTCTATCATTATATCTCTCTTTCAGCCAGTCACTTAAAGCATCAGCCCTATCAGTTTCCTCACCAAGTGTCAAATGTCACAAATCAATACAACAATGCACAGTCCCTCTCCCTCGGACAAATCCCGTCCCAGTCCATCCCATCGGTACCCAAATCCGCATCAGCGGAATAACCACCGCCAAGGCCCTTTATACAATTCCATCCTAGCTCCAGCATCCCAAACTTACACTAAAAAAACCCAACCCATCATCAGCCCATTCCGCAGTGGGCCCTCCAACCCTGCAACCAATCTCTGACACGATCAGATAAGATCTCAACGGTCTGATAATCAGCACCCCAGCACTTTTCATCTCGCCAACCGCGGACAGTCCCCAAAACGGCCTAACCTGAAGTCAAATACCGTATTTACGTACTTAGCTTGCTTGGCGTGGGTGATGGGATTAGTCAGGCATGCTTAAAAGCAAGGTTAATCGAAGAAGGGGTCCACGCCAAGACTCGCTATCAATCAGCTTTCTTTACTGTTAAGAGAAAGGATCATCGTGATGCGTGAGTGAATTAGGAAATAAGTGCCGTGAGCTTGAGGGGAATATTTCACACATAAAGCGCGGTCTTCCCAGAATTTTGAGGGAAATTTGTCACACTCTGATTTCTGCAAGTCGGTAATAATGGCAGATACTTCAGAGCGAAAGAGTGGAGAGGTGGTGGAGGAGGAGATCTCGAGACCTGGGTCTACGAATGAGGCTTTTAGAAAGCTATGGACCAAACGAACCCTTGGTTTTGCCATTGGATGGTAAGTTGGCCGATCTTCTGCTTGGAGTTGGTGAAGCTAATGTCGGGCAGTATTCTTGTCATGTTCTTCTTTATGAACTTGACAGTTTATACGGGTAATGTCTACGAGCCATATGCGACGAGTCACTTTAAAGCGCATTCTCTTCTGGCGACTGGTGCCATTGTCAATGGTCTCGTGCGCATCGTGTCGTATCCACTGCTCGCTAAGCTAGCCAACGTAAGATCTTTTCATCACTAAGGCTTGGAATGTGGCTAATTGAGTTTAGTATTTTGGCCGTCCTCAGAGCTTTGCTGGTGCGGCTATTTGCATGGCTATCGGCAACGCCATGTACGCAGGCTGTTCCAACGTCGACACCTTCTTAGTACGTCGTCTCTCGCTCACTCACTTGCTCAGGCTAACAAGTAAAAGGCAGGTGGAATCTTTGACGTCTTTGGCGATACGTGGTGGAACATCATCCAGCAGATCTTCGTCGCTGACATTACAACCCTCGTCAACCGCGGTATCATCTTCACCCTTCCTGAATCCCTCTCCGCCATCCCAACCCTCTACGGCGGAACATATCTCGGTGAACACATGCTCCTGCACTCAAGCTGGAGATGGGGTTACGGCATGTGGGCTATCATACTACCCGTCACTGCTATTCCTACGATTGGAATCATGATCTGGATGAATCGGCGTGCGAAGCGCATTGGCCTGATCACCGAGAAGATTTCGTTCATGCACGGCGCTGAGCCTGGTGTTGTTGGAAAGATCAAGCATGTTGCTACACAGTTTGATCTTATCGGTGCTCTTCTCCTCATTGGTGGTCTTGCTATGACGCTGTTGCCGATGACGATTGCGGGACGGAATAACACCGATCGCTGGAGTAGACCTTCGTCTATCGTTCTCATCATCGTTGGTGTTTTAACCTTTATCGCATTCCTAGTCTGGGATGGGAGATTTGCGTCAAACCCGATTATTCCCTACCGAACTATTCGCGAGCGCAACGTTATTGTCGCATGCGCATCGTGTATCGTCATCGCCATGGCTGATAGTATCTACCGACCTTTCCTCTCCAGCTTCCTTCAAGTCGCAGGCCATTACTCACCAGGCGCCGCAACACGCGTCGACAATGCCCAGCGCGTCGCGTACAACATCGGTGCACTAGTCGCTGGCCTTTCACTCAAGTTCGCCAAGAACACAAAGCCATTCATCATGCTCGGCGTTGTCCTGATCATCCTCGCCTGCGGTCTTCCCATCTACCTCACCAACATCTCCGGCACCCACATCGCCAGCGAAGCCGCTTTCATCACATCCAAGTCTCTTCTCGGAGTCGGCCGTGGCTTCACACAAGTCCCCCTCCAAGTCTCTCTCCAAGCCGTTCTCGAGAACGAGCAAGTTGGCATCGCTACAGCCGTCTTCCTCTCATCCCTTGGTTTCGGCTCCAATCTCGGCGTCACCATCAGCGGCGGTATCTGGAACTCTGTTCTTCCCCGAAAGCTGAATTCGTACTTTGGTAAAGAAGAAGGTGGCAAGATCTTTGGCTCTATCGTTGTCGCGCGTGCGTACGAGGTTGGAACTACTGATAGGAATGCTGTGGATGAGTGCTATCGCGAGACTCAGCAGACTCTCGCTATTGGATCAGTATGCGTGTCGGGCCTCCTGTTAGTTATGGTCTATCTGGTTCGTAACGTTAAACTCGGAGCTGAGGATGAGAAGAGGGCGGCGCAGGCTGATAAAGAGCTTGCGTGGGCTATTAAGCAAAAGGAGGCTCAGGAAGACGCCCCTATCGAGCTGGAAAGCGGGAGGCGTTAGTTCGCGTAAGGTCTCCGTCAAACTTCCATTGGCCGTAGTCCTTGAACCTTTGTGAGTGTAAAATGGTGAAGAGTAGAGGTTCAACCTCTACGGTCAGAAGCTGTACTATTGGAATTTCGTGACCTAAGTAATAGTTTCGACACTGAGAAATCAATTATATAAGAAAGTGAATTCATGTGTCATATCGACTGTTGTTCCATCCATAGTACCTGAAACCACCAGGTTGACGATACATAAGCTACCAACGGGTTCCTGTAACCGACAAGCGGACCTCCATTTCACGTGACGTGACTATCAAGGAACGGAATCCCGTACAAGACATTTTAGTCGTGTGAAGGTACTTTATACATGCTCATTCTTGCTAATCCCTAGAGGGCAGGTGTAGGATCTCAGGCCTGTCAAGCATGACCGCTGACCCTCGGAGACTTTCGGTACCCGTACTCACCGGTTGATATTGACACATCCGAGGGTACTACACATTGACATCGGACTCTTATGTGCCAAGGAGGCCCGGAATAGCCCCGAGGATCTATGAGGTTGTTGAGTGTTGACCTTCTTGCGCCTCATCCTTCAGTGGGCACATGAGCCAACCCCTAGCAAAACTTAAAGACGTACTGGGGAAAGCTGGCCGCAAACTACAGTTGTTACTTGTAATATTACCCGCCGCTTTGGGATTGTCTTCCGAATAACAACGGCAATGACCCGTGGAGAGACGCCCATGGGGGCAATGGTCAGCTTCCGTAGCTTGCTTGGCAGTGAAATTTACGAAGAAGGCCCATTAAAGGAAGCTTATGTGACAAAACACTCCACTGATTGATCCATCTCTTACAGATAATAGGTCAGGATACGGAACTCGCTTCTTGGGAGCATGGGTTGGTATGAACGGGTTATCTGATCATCTAATCAGATTATCTGAAGCTAAAGATCCCTGCTGCCTTTAATACCTCATATACAGTCAGCATCATAGAGTCCTACTTTTCTGATCTATAAAAGGCTGACGAAGCACCTGCTAGGCAAAGGTTCACTCTCCCAAGTCTTCATCTTCAGTCACCTCATCGCATTCAACTTGCACTACCTCCACAATGAAACTTTCTACTGTCTTCCTCACGATTGCCTCGGTGGCCACTGCCATGGCTGCGGCTCTACCTGAACCTGAAGTTGAGATCCCAGGCAAGCTTGTTTCTCGTGATGAGTTCGAGCTTGCTATCCGTCAGGCGGGGTGCTCTGCTTGTATCCAAGGCATTCGATGCTGCAATGGCTCCTGCATCCGTGGATGCTAAGTCTTGCACAGGGACTCAAGCATTTATGGATCAGGTTAGTTGGACGCTGACACACTCTCTTGCTTTGGGATTAAGAGACCCGACCTAAATTTTCGTTAGGCCCATCCGCTAGCTTTCGGCCACCAAAAACTTGTGAGGGATATGGGGAGCTTGCTGTATAAGGACAGGAAATTCCTCTTATGAAAATGTGTCATGCAACCACAAGTTCCGAGTTTGCCAGGAAGTGCACTAAGTCTAATTGATAAAGAGGCCAGAGCTTGAAATCTCTAGTATCTTTATTTCAAGACAAGTATTTCTTATAACTTTATAGAAAGTATTAACAATAGCTTTAACAATATGTGCTAAATGCGGAAGCCAATCAAAATCAGAATAACATAATCACCAGAGCCCAATAACTGAACATGTATCCTGGCTCAAACTTCTTAGCCCTGTTACGTTCTGTTGACGGAGAAGATGTTACGGTGACAGTACTCCTTGTTGCCGCAGTGGTCGCAGTAGTTGAACCTATATCGCTCATTGTCGAGGTCTCTTGCGCAGACTCCGTTGTATTCGATGCCCCTTCTTGAGAAATTGGCGCAAAGGTCTCTGCCAGGGCTTCCTTGGGACATTCCATGTAAATGCGTGCACGCAAATCTTTGAAGTAGCGCTGCTCCCTAGGGCTAAAGCCAGTAGATCTAGAAGTGGGCAGGTCGAGATCCAAGTTAATCACGTGTCTGATATAACAAGGTCTACAGAGATCCTTGGTGGGAACGATGTCGCGAGGGCCTAATTCATGCATAAATTCATCGATGATCTCTGTACAAAAGGTCAGTATAAAACACTTGTCAACTTCTTTTTGAAAACGAACCAGTGCAGTATCTTCTTGTGTCAGTATCCGTGCCACAAGTCAAATTCCAGGATCGCCAAATATTATCACCAGGGGCGATCAAATTTTCAAGATCGCATTCCTGGTGAACCGCGGTATTGAAGGTCTTCAGTGATCGGGAGCAGGTCTTGGTGCACATATCATGCGTAATATCATTGCCATCATCGTCTACGAGCACTGGAAACCAGCCATAGCCATAGTAGGCGACGTATTTGCTGCAATCAATTTCGGCTGTCAGGGCTTTAATGCAGGCCTCGGGCTGAACGTCGGACCATGTACTTCCGCTACCGTAGAGACGGAATGCATTTGCAGTTAGATACAGGCTGCAGGCAAAAGGAAGTAGGGACAAACGCATAGTGAAGGGGACACGTTGATGGAGTTTTTGGAGATAAAAAGAATGACCATCCAGTCCAATGTCTGTTTCTAAAAGTCAGCTCAGGTTACTTATAAAGAGAAGAATAATGGGCCGTCATCAAATTATGTACCTGAAATAAAATTATAAATGGATGGCGCTAGACTATTCCTAGGCATCATGGATATGCCAAGTCGGTTCTGAATAGGCAGTGGCCGAGTTTTCCCTGTCTAGCGGCGTTCACAACCCCATTTGAGCTTTACATGGAGTCAATTCAATTGCTGTAGCTAATCGGGTGGTCGGCTTTATTTAATGTACCATGTCATGCTGTTGGTTGCTAGCTGTCAAGATCAAAGGTACCACTAGATATTATCAGGTGCAGAGTGAAGTGGACCCTAGGCAGAGCTTCCAGTTTATTTCTAATTGAACTTTAGCTTAGAAGAAATAAAGAGGTTGCTAAAACAAGTCCCGGTAAGCAGCTGACCTACTTAGTTTATAAAGGGAAAAAAGGTACTGTTATTTTCTTCTAACAATACTAATATAAAGGTATTATAAAATACTAGAAAATACCTTTTAGTTATCTCTTGCTAATATATAGCTTATATTATTATTAGTCCTTAATTTATTTACTAAGATTAAAATGCACCTGTATTTACTAAAGAAATAGTTTTATATAAAAAGAACTAAAGTAAAAAATGGTAGCCTATATATACAATCCTTCTTATACTCTACAGTTTTATACACTCATGCATTAATGCTAAACCTTCGACCACGCTCTCTTTACGGTTGTCTAGGAATGAAGGCCACAGGTCACAAGTTCCCTCGACTTGGGCTAACCAAGCCAGGAATAGACACGTTGCAGTAAGGACGAGCCTGGAAAGACATAACCGGCGCCACATCATAAAGTCGATGCGTAGGACATCATTGCTCCAGCAACTTAAGCACAATTAAGAGGCTAGGTGGACTGAACAATATCGAACTAAGTTCTGTCTGCTGATTTAAGCCCTCAGCAATATCGAACATGTATCAATATTAGGTGGGCGGTAATATAGGTAACGACTGATCTAGCTAAATGATTAGTGAAACTATGGTACAAAATCATATTGGGCAGTAGATAAGGCCTCGCCTCTGGGTCACCGAGGAGTAAGCTGTGAGTTTGCATCTTGCTAGGCGCGATTGTGGACTTCTCTAGCAGATCGGGGTCTTTGCCATAGGGGCAAAATCATATCCTGCTGTTTCTAAGATGAGAACTGCTTAGTGCTTAAAGAACAGCAGCCACGAGGCCGACAGCGGCGACGACTGCTGGCTTGGTGGGGGCCGGGCAGGATCCAGGATGGGCGGGACTACATCCACCAGGAATAGCGGTCGATGAAGGCAGAGACGCAAGGGTAGTGTCAGGGCAAGATCCAGCATGAGCAAGGTTGCAGCCACCGGGGATGGAAGTAGGATTTGGGTCGGAGTATTGATCGCGTTGATGCGGCGAAGCAGCCGAAGCCATGGCAGCGAAGTCGAAAGCAACAATAAGACTTTGGAGTATTATGATCTTTAGTGAATGGTGATGTACGGTTTCCTTTCAGGTTAATCGCGAGTAGAATGACAGGATAATAAAAGTAACGAAAGTGATGAGTATAAAAAGATGAGCATCAAACCTGGGCTCAGGGCGATTGAAATATGATTCAAATACTGCGCCTGATACTGTATGAACCCGGTGGTGTCAGGTACGAGACCAACATTAGTTCCGCATTCGTCGAAACAGGGGCAGGGATATACGAGGTCCTGATATGGACCGAAAAACGTTCCAGCTCCTATATGAATGTCTTACCATGACGCTGCCAGCTTTTGGCCTCTTTCCAATGCTTTAGGTATTGACTGTCTGACATAAGAGGAAATATTTAGTATAAGAACGATTTCAATATGTGCTTTCAAAAATGACTAGAGTATGTACGACCTGTTTGTTGATAAACAAGAAGCTCGTCAGAGGCGTGTTCAGAGCGTGTTCCAGTAAAACCAAGTCACCATAGACACATCTAACAACGATGAGTGGGCGCTGGGGACGCGATACTAACTGTTTCACCGTCGCAAGGCTTCGTGTAACACGCCAATCAGCACTACCGTACAAACTTAGAAAATTGAGTGGCTTCCGTAGATTCGAGCTAATATAATTATTTGACCAATTGTAAGATATTAGATTGATATTTACGACGTAACCTATCGGCTATTTTAGATAATACTCTAAATCTCACGAGTGAATGACGCCCTGCGATCTGCTGGATACACTATGTTTCGTTGAGACAGTTCGGCAGAGCTCGGAGCATAATTTTTGGCCCTATCACATTCACTCAGCTTATCACTTCAATACTTTACTACCTTTTCTATCACATACTAAAGCTCCAATCTTTTTTGTTCATGTGATGCGTATTGAGAGGTTCTATAAGTGATAACCAACTGAGGTCTACTCTTCATCTTCCGGAACAAAATTGGCTTCGAGTTGGCGATGAATACTGTCAGCGTCAAAACCCTCGAGTTCATCCCCTCTGACAGTCCACCCTCGTCCTTCAACAAACGCTTTTACATCACTCTGAAGCTCTTCAATATCCTCGTACTCAAATTTCCAGCATTTATGGAGAATCCTTCCCATGAACTCGTCTTCAAGATCAGGCATCCAATCCTCCTCGGTCATCAAGCGTTCAGTCTCGCCCCAACCCCTTCCCAATCCATCACCTGGAAGTTCAGAGGTCATGAACTGATATACTAACCTACCAAACATAAACATATCAGTTTTTGACGTTGGCACTTGCACCGCCCGCGTGAGAGGAAGATATTCTGGCGAAAACTCGATACCACTGAAGAAAGAGCCGGGGAAATTCCAACCATTGCTGGGATCAGTAAAGTCAGAGCCGAGAAATCCTGCTAGCGCCATCGATAGAGAGCCTGCACTGATCCAGCAGTTTGTCTCGATGAGCTCTCCGTAAGCGATACCGCGAGAGTGGACTAGTGAGAGCCCTGATAGTAGGTGCAAGCTCCACTGGTATGCCAGAGGTCGGAACTCTCGCTTGATCCGGGACGCGGGAGGTGCAGTATCTGCTTGAGCCGCGTAAACTTGAGAGCCATAGTTCTGTATAAAAGTCCAAAAAGAGCCATATGACGGCTTCTTGAGAATAGGAAGACCTGTCCAGGCGTCTTGACCGATAACACTGGTACATCCAGTTAGCAAGAGCCGTGAGGACGATCGCTCTTAATGACCTACGGTACGATTCTCGGATGCTCTTGGCCAATCATGTTGTAAGCATAAGACGTTTTGAAGCAGTCGAAAGCTTCTGTGTCCTCTCGCCACAAAGCATCTGGGTCGTCGGCTTGATTTTCAACCCAGAATCGGGAGCTGGGTATAAAGATGACAGATTCAGCATCCCTTGAGTAAACATGAGTGTCCCCAATATCTATCGGCCATCGGAGATGACGACCTTGAGGGTCAGTCAATGGGACAGTCCGAGGACCCGTTGCAGTGCGATAGTAGGTTCCCAGCTGGGCCTTATTGCGTACACCTCGAGCCATTGTGAAATATGATGAAAAGAGATGCTAGGTTCTGCTCGCGAGGGGCGGATGTTGAGGTTGATGAGTTACGGTTGGCTGCATTCCCAATTTCCATTGTTTTACTCGCAAGGGCACCCGGAATGTTTATCCGGGCCGACGCATGCTGTACTGTTGTGTTCTCCAAGTTTTCCCACGTGCCCCCGCTGGTAAGTACTACTTTATCCACAATAGCCCACCAGCCCAGTCCTATCATATTTCACGGCCATTCAAATCGTTTGATTGACAGAGATGAGCGTTCTGGCTAGTCTACAACAGGCACAGAGCAACACAAGACACACAAGGATTTACCTATGTACAGTACAGTCATCGGTAGGGGTAAGCATCAAGATCTGCAAGCTGCATCACAGCTGAATCTCAAGGTTTACTAGTGCGAAGGGAGTTCCTCAATCAGCGAACGGTCGTACCAACTGAGTTCACAGACATCATTAGACGTTCGGGTAAGAAGACATGAACTGATTCGTGTCAGTGGGGCTAGAAATGAGATGAATGTGTGATGAGTCTTTCTCCACTGTGACAACGTCTAGGTGTGCCTTAGTGTTGCTTGGCAGGGAGCAAAAGGTTGTTCAGACTAAGATAAGCAGTGGAGGCCTGGACCCGTAGCTTCGAGGCGCACGGAAAAGCAACCCGAGTCAAAATTAAATGTCTAATTACAGAGTCCATACTGCTTTTGGCATCCGTTTCCACAATTATCTGTTGCTGTTCCGCAGTAGCCGTATTGCGAGCAACAGTTCCCAAACTGTGACCCTTCACAAGTGTAGCCCTTCTCTCCACCGCAGGTCCCATCAGGGCTGATCTTTTCACTCCCTGCATCACACTTACCAAACTTTGACTGGCATCCACCGCCACAGTAGGGCGATGAATCGCCACAATATCCACTAGAGGAGCAGCAATCCCCAAACGCAGAACCCAAGCATGTTTTGCCTTTTGTGCCTCCACATGTCCCATCTGTACTGACGTCAGTTGGCTGGGCAGCACTGCTACTTGCTTTAGACGATGTTGTTGAAGTGGGCGTTGAAGACGTGGTCGGCGCTGGACCCTCGTCATAGCCATACAGGTCCTCAATGGTCTCGTGGCAGTAAAACGTTCCCAGAGTGTAACCGCTGCAATCCTCTTTGAGAGAAGGGTTATACCGGTACATTTTCTCCATTGTCATCCTGCTGTGCCCCAACTGACTCGCGCAATCAAAGTATCCCATGAACCACCGCGTGCAGTTGGCGATCTCGCCAGCCGCCCGAGGAGATGGAGGAACTCGGGGTTTCTTTGGCACAGGCGTTGGGCTTGCGAGCTGCATGCAATATGAGACAAATGGAGAGATTGTACACGGGAAATCGTAGGTGGGCGACACTGCATCTGGCTCATTTTGATCCAAGCTCGGGTTCCAGAGGAAGAACTGCTCAAGGTCTAGCTCGTAGCCGAGAGCTGCATCGAGACAAGGGATAGGACTGCCGGCATATGTCTCGTTCCACCAAAGATACTCCCAGCAATCCTCGCGAGTGCCGTTTGCCAGAGGCACATATGGGCCGTCGCGAGGAAACTTTTCCCAGTAAGGAACTTCGGTGGACTCTTGCGGTTCAATTGTCCACTCGTCCTCTTCAGGTCCATAACCGAGGTAGTCGGCGATGTCGCCCACGGGAGCAACGCAGTAAGAGGTCCTGAGCCATAGATTCGTGCAGTTTTGCCAGATCATGGGATTCAAGAAGATGAGGTCATCGAGGGAAATGCTATACTTGAGACCGATGGTACCGCAGTCATCGCCGGCAGTGACATTGTGAAAAAGTCCACAATTTGTTTTCGTGTCTGGTGCAATATTGTCTGGAACTGTAGCGGGAGTGTCAAATCCAGCCGAGTCCTCGTTCTCGGGCACTTTGTAATCTCCCAGCGGATTCGAGATGCAGATTGTCTGATTGACATAGGAAGAGACGTTGTCGCAATAGCCGTTGATAAAGGGATTCCAGGATCTGAGTTTGGCTCTGGAGAGGCCGGTATCTGACTGAATACTCTCGCAAGTGTCACCACTCTTAACAACATATACATCGCACTGGTTGCGAATACATAGTTTTCCTGATGACGGAAAGTCGCTGACAAGGGAGTCAAGCCTGTTGGCTGTGGCTAAATCGTGCGTCGAGACCTTTTGAGATTTGGAAACACTGAGGAATGTATCCCCAGATTTGATTGTGTACTCGGAGCTACAGCTTATTGTTGCCGTTGGACTGGTAATGTTAGTAAAAGGCTGGGTAATCTTCTGCACCAAACTTACGATGAAACAATCAAGGGCTGATATGTCTGCGTAGGTTGTTTCTTGTAGCCGCAGCTCGAACTGGCGGAAGCGTAGATGGCCTTTTGATCGGCAGTATCTTCTGACAGTGGCGATTGAGCATTATGCCACAAGATGAGCTTGTAGCATTCATCACAGAGAGATGCGTCAGCGGGAGCGCTTTGGAACCACGTATTGCAGTACTGTCCATTTCTATCATTTTGACCATGTTAGATGTGATGTAAAAATGGAGAAGATATATGAGTTACTGACCCTTTTCGGAGGCATGCCCGCTCAACATAGTAGATTGCTTGTTCCATCAGATACGAAGGTTTCCACAAGGCTCCATCCACACGATCCTCGTAGGTGACCTCCGAGCCGCATGTTGTTTTGACTGAATCTCGCAAGTCGGCCAAGCTTCCTAAGCAGCTGCCCTGACAGAGCTCTTTTATCTGAGCGGTATCAAGGTCCATATCCCAGTCAAAGTACAACTGCCCTAGTATGAAAGGGCAGGACACTTTGGTGTTGATTGCTGCGACGCAAGCATCGCTAGCACCGTTGAGCATGGAACCATCAATTTCACCAAGTGAAAAGAGACCCTCTCCATACACCGACGGTAACGTGGCCCAGGCGATTAACGCCGACCATGACCAAAGGCGACGCATCTTGTTGTGCGATAGCGAAAGTGCCGTACGTCTTTGGAGAGATTGTAAAAAATGGTATGAAGCTCAGGAGAGTAAGCGAGAACTGGATAATAGTGCTTTTTTTTTTTTTTTTTTTTCTTTCTTTCGGTATATACTAAAGAGCCGAACAGCGAGATTCAGTTTGCATCACGCACGGCATTCACGCTTTACCAACCGTGTCTACTGCCCGAATAATAACTCACTTGTCTCCAGGAGCTGAACAGGAAAACGCCGAGATTAGGGAGGGGCGAGAAAAAGGCCTCGGGCCGCCGGGCTCTTGGCATATATCTCCACAACGACTCCTCGGTTGATCGACGAGTCGCCGTTGTTGGTGGTTGATCCAGGAACGTTTGAATCGGAGATAGGAAAGGGACTTCCGTAGGGAGTAAAGATGTGCTACAACGTATCATGCGCAGGTCCAAGAGCTGATTTACCTAATGCCAATGCGCACTTCGGCAGCACGCACAGATAAATCCCAAGAGTATTGCCAATTCGGTACAAGTATTGACTCCATTGTGTTGGCGCTAGAACAAACATACTGGGGCACAGTTTCAACCTTTTACTACTAACCCGCTTATCGCCCTGATCATCCCTTTGCCAGCTTCAGCCCCAGCCGAGTTGCGGGTCACTTCTGGTTTGTCGCTTCATCCGATTCGACTGTTGGTTCCAACACAGCAAGACTCTCAATGATACTCGTTCTCCCTGACATTTTAGTACGGCCATGAAAATTTCTCATCCAGGATCATGCGCGACTCATTTCAGACGATAAGCTATGGGTCCCTTGTTATGATCTGATGGAGGTGGAACTTCCGTCTTCCAGGTAAATTGGAAGACGAAACTCTGACTTGGTAGCCCCTGGAGAGACCTCGAGCCGGACTGTCTAGGATGTGGACCTGGTCTGGAGAGCTGAGTAGCCTGCAACGATGATAAACTCAAGTGATTCCTGTCCCATAGGCCATAGGCTTAACGAGTAAACAACTATAGTTCTACATACATTCATTCATTTTGACATTGATTTCATTCACCTACTTATCGGAATACTTCTGTGTCTCGCTGTCACTGAAGTGGCCGTAACAAGCCATGCGTTTTCTCGCCAGCCAGATGCGATTATTTCTTTTGTTTCCCTTGTTTTTAGACCTCTCCGTTGGTCACCGTCACTCTCATTCCCGCTTTCACATCCGTGGGAAGCATGCCCGTGCTAGTGATTCTGATTCACCTCTGAGGCACATTGAGGATGAATCTGTATCCCTCGCTGCCATTCCTATGAACCATGAGATCCTCCCCAGGGAGCTTACTGTACTATCCGAGTCCGGTCAAATATCCAACGCTGCAACATCTGGCGATTACACTTGTGGCCCTGAGAAGCCGTGCGGTAATGGGGCTTGTTGTGGCGAGAGCGGATGGTGCGGGTGAGTTACAAGACAAGCAGAGGAGGAGGTTCTTCCTCGCGATGTACACTGCGGATGACTGACTAGTCTTGATTTAAAGATACGAGCCCAAGTATTGCGGCAAAGGTTGCCAGTCCAACTGCGATGCCAAGGCCGAATGCGGGAAGTATGCTTCTCCGACGGGCAAGAAGTGCCCTTTGAACGTCTGTTGTAGTGAATATGGATTCTGCGGAACTACTGAAGAGTAAGTTACGGTCCTTTCCAGATTTTCTTCCAATGGTGGTACTATTGAATGGCTGAAACTGATTGCAACTTGGTAGCTTCTGCAAGAAAGGCTGCCAGTCTGACTGCGAGCAACCCAAGCCATCCGCTTCCAAGTCTAATGTACAACAGAAGGTCATCGCCTACTGGGAGGCCTGGAATGGGAACAAACCCTGCGGTCATATGTCTCCAGACGAAATCCCAGTCCACGACATCACCCATCTCATCTTCTCATTTGGTTTCGTATCACCCGACGATTTTCGCATCACTAACATGCCCGATGTCAAGCCCAGTCTCTTCACACAAGTTACAGACCTCAAGGACAAGAACCCCAACTTGAGCATCATGATCGCACTGGGTGGATGGACTCATAATGACCCAGGCAAGTACCAGAAAGTCTTCAGCGACATGGTCTCTACCCGAGCCAATCGACAGACATTCATCAAGAACCTACTTGGCTTTCTAAGTCAATATGGATTTGATGGTGTTGACTTTGATTGGGAGTATCCCGGTGCCAAAGACCGCGGCGGGAAAGATACTGATGGTAAGAACTTCACTCAATTTCTCAAAGAGCTCCAGGCTGCTATGCGCTCGGCCGGTCGACATTATCTGGTAACCTACACTGCCCCGACCTCTTATTGGTATTTGAGACACTTTGATCTCAAGGCCATGAACAACTACGTGGACTGGATCAACCTCATGTCTTACGATCTTCATGGAATTTGGGATCGAGATAATCCCATCGGCAATCAAATTCTCGGCCACACAAATATCACCGAGATTGACCTTGCTCTCGACCTAGTATGTGTTCATTCCACTCCGCACAGGACCACCAACTAACATCACTTGCCCAGTTTTGGCGTAACGACATACCCCCAAGTGACATTGTTCTTGGCATCGGCTTGTACGGGCGGTCTTTCAAGCTGGAGAACCCTGCTTGTTGGAAGCCTGGATGCCGCTTTAGTGACCCGGGAGATAAGGGCAAGTGCACAGATACGGCAGGCTTCCTATCTTATAGAGGTAAGTAGACAGTTTTATCATTTGACAATAGTGCAGGCTGACCTTATGCAGAAATCATGGATCTCATCAGAGACAGCAAGGCCAAGCCCGTCTACGACAGGGATGCAAAAGTGAACTACATGGTCTATGGGCAGAACAACTGGATCTCCTACGACGATGAACGGACTTTCAAGGACAAAATTGACTTTGCCAACAAACGAGGACTCAACGGGCTGATGATGTGGGCAATTGATCTTGATGACTCCAGGCGATCCGCCCTGAATGCAATCACTGGGCGAAAAAACTTCCTCGAGGGGAATGCGGCATTCGGTATTGGTCTCAGTACCAAGAAGTCCGAAGAAGCGGGATATTCGTCAGATGACTCAACCCAATGTCGAGTCACGGATTGTGGCGGCGCTTGCTCCGATGGAGAAAGAACCGTTGGGCGTACAAACAGTCTTGACAAGAAGGAGGAGTAGGTTTATCGGCAGAGGAATTGAACACTTGAATAACAGATGGTTTTAGATGCGGTGATAAACCTTCCAATGCTCGGTCTATTTGCTGTCCATCGTGGGCCAGTATTACCAGTGCTGAATGCTACTGGGATCGAGGGAGAGGTGGACTCTCCGGCGATTGTGCTGGGAAGTGCAATCCAGGCGAACTGAAGCTCTTTGCAGATCAAAGAGGTTGGAAAGGTGATCTTGAGAGCGGCGGGTGGAACGGCAAATATTGCTCACGGTATGTACTTACTCACTAGTAGCACCAAAGGATGTGAGATGCTGACCTTTCTTTGATTAGGGGATCTCAAGTTTTCTGCTGTAACATTGGCAACATGGAACAGTACATGGACATCTGCACCTGGACCAAGTGCGGTGGCACCTGTCCCAGCGACAAGCAATATGTTCTGACTGTAGACTCGGGAGGTCCTGCTGATGAGAACGAGAGATGTAGCGACGACTTTGTCAACGGTGCCTTTGATGACGATGCTCAGGACCCCGATAAAGGTCAGAAGAGTCGCCGCAAGCTCTGTTGCCCTAAGAAGGATTCGTTCTCCAACTGCAGCTGGCGGTCTGCCAATGTTTGTTCGAGGCAATGCGACAACGGTCAGATCACTCTGGATCTCGATCCTCAAGGCATGGGGGGTGCATATTGTGGGAACGGTAAGAATACACTCGATTCCCTCAAGTTCAGTGCACAAGATTAACCATCTTTCAGGACGGCAGAAGGCCTTCTGCTGCGATGCTCCTGGCAGAAGCAATCAGCCATTCCTCCCTGTCAACCTGGACAAGCTCTTTCCACCGGAGCTACTACCGCCACCAGATTCAGTTCCGCAGTTCGAGCTCATCACCTTCGGAAAGGGTTCTCGAAACAGCCAACCCGACAAGGCCGGCATTGCTTTCTTCCTTCTTGCAGGCTCTGACACTGGCCTCGCCTCTATGTCCAAGCGTGACAATCCCAACCTTGTCTTTCTCGACTGCCCTAAGGATATTCACTCTCAACCTGTCGGACAGGTTCAGACTGCGCGAGTTATTTGCCTCGGTCTCTTTGAGGAGTGCTTCGGTGTCGCAAAGGATGGAGTCGAGGGAACGGTCGTCCACATGCCATCAGATTGTGGTGCTGGCTCATACGCTCGAGCTGTTGCCCTCGTTCCTTCTCAGGACCAGTCGATCCCCACTCATCTGGCTCTCAGCAATCCATCTGCCGTGTACGACTTTTCTTTCGACTACGACATGGGATTGGTGCGTCGTGATGCTGGTCAATTCTCGATCCGGATCGACTATTCCAATGTCAAGGGCTATTGGAATGAAGTAGTAGACCTGTCAGGGAAGAGGAAGCGAGATCTCAAATCCCTTGTGGATAGATTCTACGCGGGCAACTCGCAAGACTGGTTCACTCAATTCGATAAAACCGACATCCAAGATTCCGAAGAGCTCAATGACAACAAAGTATCCGTTCTTAATCAGCTCATTTACTTTGACTCCCAAATGTGCGATGTGGACAGCGGCGACAAAGAGGGTCAAGGCTTCTCCATCACACTCGAGGGCTCAGCTAAAGCGAGGTTCTTTTACGGATTTTCTATGATTGCGACCTGGACACCTGGGAGCAAACTCAAGGTTCACCAATCAGCCGGGTTCCTTCACGTCGATGGTGATACAAAGGCCGAGTTCACGGTGGCTGGCATTGGCAAATTGGACTCGTCGCAGAAAACAGAAAAGGGGCCAGTCACATACAGCGAGGCTACAGAGTCTCTAGGTGGACATGGGCTGTGGCATGGCTGGGCCAACTTCCGGCCTTATAAGCAAGAGAGCGTCGAGTTTAACACAAGAAACTCGCAAGGGACTGCGGTGTCTCTAAATGGCTATTTGAGTGCGAAGGTGGTAGCGTGAGTACATTGTGTCCGTCTGCATCGATCACGACTAACATCTATTAGTTTATGGGGTAGCCAAAATGTTCATTTCCCGGAGGGCAGAAAGTCTATCAAGATTTCTGAGCCCCTGGTTAGCAGCAAAAGCGCATTGACGCCACTGTCCAAGCCAGGCCCCGAATCAGAGATCACCGTTGCCGCCATCACCAAGTTTGGCCTAGACGTGGACCTTTCATTTGGAATGCCATATACTGCCGCTATAGACGGCGCTTTGCCTGACATCTCCGTTTCACAGGATGTCTCAGCCACGTTTATATGGAAAGAAGAAGATGGCGAGGTCTGTCTGGATACCTATGCTGGCCAGACACAGAAAGCCAAATTGATTTCAGGGTCCTATGTTGGCTGGGGCGACGACTACGAGCACCTTTTCCTGCAGCAAGACACTCGCGTCGGAAGTCAGCGATGTTTCGGAAAGTCCTCCCATAAGTCGCGATCTTACCAGCTTGGTCCTTCTAATGAAGGCCTCGTTGACAATAAGGACGATGAAGAGGAGCCAGAATGTGACAAGGAGGATGTCCTCTGCATCCGTACCAAGAAGAAGACTAAACGGCAAAACAACTCTACCCCAGACAATTACGACTTTAGCGGCTATGGTGTCATACGAAAGGCTAGTGAGCTTTCTGATAAGTCAATCGACGACTGGGTGCGGAAGAAGCAACGAGTCACCTGTGAGCCTTGCGGTTCTTGTATTATTACCGAGGAGGGTGAGAAGAATAGCTGTTGCTCGTGCGTCTGGCTCCCACCGCCCCCCGACCCTGACGAAGATGACCATCCTGATCTCGGAAGCATGCCGTTGCCTGGGGGTCCTCTCATTCCTGGGGTTCCTGAGAAACGGGAAATGGAGTTTGGAGGCTCCAATGATGCAAACAATCACCTCTTTCCCCGTCAGGCCGCCCAGCCCGCCCCGCCTAGACTCACGGAGAAAGCCAAGTGGGTCAAGTTTTGGACCATACCAGGTGACCCCATACCTTTCGAAGTCGGAACATATAAGTATCCCTCATATCCAGACTACTACTCAGACCCAGAGGGCAAAAGAAATATTCCATTTGATGGCAACTCCAAGCTTAGCAATATCAAAATGTACTATCACAACAGCACCTCAATCTGCACTTCTTTCGATATCCAGAAAGCTCCCGGGTACGATGAGATATGGAAATATGATAGGCAGGATCCATATGGTCCATACAAGAAGGGCGTCTTATACCATCAGCACTACGATACCGAACACATTCTCGAAGGCCAGACAATCAGCCGGTTCTTTGCTACATGGCTGCCGAGCCACAAATACTCCAATCGTTGGACCGAAAAATGGGTCTTCACAGAGTATAGTGAGTGGGAGAACAAGCAGACCAAGAAGCAGAATGCCTTTATCCATTTGGTAGTAGACGAACTTGGCTCGAGTATTCACTACGATCGACTTGCCGTCTTCCTCAGCAACTCGAACCGCATGAAGGGCGCGCTCTTTGGAGGTATCAGTACCACAACTACGGCCACATTCGCTCAGCTCGAAGCCGGGGCCGAGCAGCTGTTGCATGTCCGCGAGCTAGGCTTTGTCTTTGGCTACATGGGCCGCGATGACATCTGGGACGCGTTCTGTGATTCTTACAACGGTATCTTGGACTTGATGGAGATATTTGACGCGTGGTATCTCAAGGAATCTAAGAGCACTAGCGACCTGGCTGCACAATGGGTTAGTTTCATCAGAAGTGAGCTAGACATGGTGGTGAGGCAAGCTCACAACGACGTTAAGCGCTTCTACGGGCAAAAGAAGCCGGCTGGTAAGAGATACGAAGATTTTTGGGAGGTTATCATGAAGGGCCCTACTGCAGAGATGACAAAGGTCAAGCTGAACAAGATTGGCAAGTGTAAGAAGCTGCCAGCTTCATCAGTGCCTGCCTGGAAATTTCCTTAAATGGCTATTTTGTATTTCATGGCTATCTCATAGATCGGTTGTCTGAGACTGGTCAATAATTTTGGAGTCTAATACGAGAATCTAATAGACGATGGGGATGACTGCCGCCTATAAGATTCAATCATTCTGGTGACTTTGTATAAATCGTTGGTGGGAGCTCACTGCCAGGAACCCAGATCAGCTTGTTGATCGTGGAAGATTCACTGGCCCCGAATTTGACCTTCCAGAACGTTGCGCCTTGGTCGCTCCCAACCCATCGACCTCTGCTCACTAGTTCATCTCGAGGTTGAAGCCATGTGAACGTATCCTCATGATAGTGAGCCAGCTCAAACATTTCTGTTTCCAGACCTTGCATAAGCCAGTACAAATTATCTCCGACAAGTTTGATATCAATCATAAATATGTGCAAGTCGTCCCAATAGGTACCGACATACTCTGTGAGTGGCTTTGGTGATGTTCCCCCTTTCTTACCCTTCTCCAGTTCGTCCACCACTCGGGGGTACCATTTGAGATTCTCAGCAACAGCCGCCTCTGCCAGCCCAACAAAGTCGGTTCTGAGCTCTGAAGGTCCGTTGACAATCTCTTCAATGATCAGCTGACCAATCCAGTCCGCTGCATCATTAAGCGCGAGTGAGTTGGTAAGGACCACGATCACAGTCTCCGTCTCGGGCAAAAGGGCAACAAAGGTGAGTGAGCCAGGAAGGCTTCCCTGATGGAACAGAACGAGACTGGAGGTGCCTCTACCAATGGCAGGCATGCCTTGGGGGAGTAGTGCGGGGTTGAGGCCGATCTGTCCCAAGCGGCCTGGCAGCTGAACCCTTCCCCATCCAAATGCATACGAGGCCTCGTGCTGTGATGGCTGGTCAAATGGAATCTTTGCAGACATGATATGGTTCAGTTGCTTGAGGGGTGAGGCATCGTCGAGGGTAACACTCTCACCAAACTGGGAATTGAAACCTTTGATGAAGCTGCTGTATAATTTGACCAGGTCTTTGACTGACGAACGTGCCCCACCGCTAGCAGCCCCGTATCCACCATCGCCCATCCTGAGAAACTCGATGGGGACTGTGGATGCATCGTCGAGAGCGTTGTAGCATACGTCTACATCGTCAACACTCTCTGAGGGCGTCTGGAAGGAGGTCCTTTCCATCCCAAGAGGGTCCAGAAGACGGCTTTGCATGAAGTCGAAGTAGGACTGTCCGCTGACTTGTTCAATAACAGAGCCAGCCAGTTCGTAGTGGAGGTTGTTGTATCCAAATTGGGAGCGGAATTGACGTATGAGAGGTCTGTTGTTGATATATTTCATGACGTCTTCAGACCTGAGGAGAATGTTACCTGCAGTGCCAAGAATGACATTATCACCCCAGCCCATCCCAGTACGATGACAAAGAACGTCCGTTATGGTAGTGTTGTTATGAAGCACAGGATTCACGGAGCGGAAGTCGGGTAGGATGTCCTTGATGAGGCTATCCCATGATACCCGCTTCTCCTCAACAAGGAGACCAAGTGCTGCGGCAGTGATGGCCTTGGTCAAAGAACAAATTGGGAAGATTGTATCTTCGGTGACAGGGAGCTTTTTCTCAACGTCGCGAAAGCCATGGTTGTCGTAGAATATCGGACTGTCCTTGGTCATTACGCCAATTGCCACACCTGGAGTGCCCGCGATGGCCATCAAGCGCTCAATAGAATGCGACAGACGGCGAAGTCTGACCGTAATATCAGTCATTTTTTGGTTGATGTTGCCTGCGCAAAAGAAATGTTAGCAAGAGAGTGGTGTAAGCGTCGTTGCAGTTGATAAAGTCTGTGCATAATAAAGTGTAGAATCGCCGTACTCAATCCTGTAGGCCACGGAAGGCCAAATGCAAGAACAAAATTCCAATACAGAGGAATAGTTAGAAACAAAATGCTCACTGCTACGAGCAGTTTGACTCTTAACGGCATGCGCTCCATCTCTGAACTAGGCATCCCACACCGCGGGACGTTGAAATGAGCGATGAAGGTTGGACCGATTGATGACTGAGAGTTAAATTGTCACGTTCCTTAAGAACTTCATAAATCAAAACGGGCGACATCCGACAGTCCTGGCCCGGTGTGCATTTCAATTGTGAAAGAGATGAGTTTGCAAATAGTGCTGAGGGAGCCAAGAAGAGAGAAGAGAAAACAGGGCTTGCCTTCGCTTGCTGTGGCTTAATTGGCCGCCAGGGATTTCGATATGACTTGATGTGCTTTCGGTCTCGCTTTCAGTAATGGACAGGAGGGCAAGGTAGGCGGGCGTCCTCACGTATGAGGCAAAAAGGTTCAGCAGCAATAATGGTGATGGCGGTGAAGAAACGAGAGGCTCATGGTTGATTAAGATCATGTAGGGAGGCTCAGGGTGTTACCAACTAAACTCAGTCGTCTAATCCACATGGCCGCCGTTCAAAACCGGAGAGCAAGACGAGAGCAACTGTGACGGCCGCTTGTGAATGACAAATGGTTGGGTTGTCCTGGCAGCCAACTGAGGGGTAAGCAATTTGTGTAACTGTGACACGTCACCATTCGGTACCCAGAGCTATCAGCTTGCAGGCATCAAAAACACGGGACGGAATCACTATTGAAATTGCTTGGGAGGTGAATGGTGTGAGTGGAGACGGGGACTCTCGCTTGCTGGCCTTGTGAAACATTTAAAGTACTCAACATAAATCTGCAACCCTTACGGTATTCGCATTTCTCGGGTTGCCAGCAATAAACGGCTGCTAAACATAAACGATAAGGCATAGATACTGTTAGCAGCTGCTTGTCTACTATGATCCTAGTAGGGGCGTCTGGTGGGTTCAGAAGAGCCAGGTTGCGAGTTACTGAGAGGGCATGAGCTTGCTCAGAGATGTGATTTGTGACCAAAACCTGCGGCGCTACATATTCACGTCCTGGCATGGATATCTCGCCAAAAAAAGCTGTCCTATAAATGGACTAGCAACTTGCCACTATTCCCAGCCGAAAAGCGAGAGCTGACAGCGCTTGGACCCGAACCTTTCAGTTCGCTAGATCTGAGCCCGACAGAATGGCCAGGTGTTTTGGGTCGCCCCGAAAGCGTTCCAAGGGGCTCCCCCCTTTCAACTTCCTCTCTCTAGGGCCTATTGGTTTTCTTTGAGTGTGTAGGCGACGGACTTCAAAACGTTAAACGCCCAAGACAATTCCACCTTATTGACTTTGTTGATTCCCATCTGCCTTAGTAAAGACACATCCCCTTCTGTTCTCCTGGTTTATCTCTGAGTCACTGACCCACTAAGGACCTTTAGCAACAGCATGCCAAACATGGAGAAATCTGCGCTATCTAGTGCAGAGGACGAAAAGAGACCTGGGCCTTCGACCAAACACTCCGACAGTTCGACAGTTGTCGATGGCCTTGACTCCGAATCTTCCACAAAACTAGTCGTGCCAAGTGAAACCGTCTGGGACGAGTTATTTCCACAGAAGAAAGCTGAAATTGCTTCTGTCATACAAGAGGTTCATCAAAAGCTATGGTCTACCAGACTCTCGAATCTGAAGGGGGGAGTGACAGGCCGGCAGCCGAAAGAGAAGATCATGAGTATTGATGAGGCTCTTGACCGAGTGACAAACACTGAGTCGTTCGTCAAAGAGGTCTCGGCTTTCCTCAAACATTTCTCTAAAGAAAAAGAAAAAGATCCCAACTGGTTCCAGAGACAGCTGAGCCGACTTCGCCGGGGAGTCGAGCGGAAAAATGAATTCCAGAATGGGATATCATCCGCTGTCCAGATCGACCCTACTGGTATCGCCTGTTTGTCCTGGGGCCTCCTCTTGATTGCCATTCAGGTCTGACCCACATTCTGCATCATCAATAGTGCATACAGCAACTTACTGTTTATATAGTACTCATGTGTCTACGCCGAGTCTTCTGACATGTTTGATCGTGTGTTAAACACACTCTCAGGTGTCCACGACAATTTCGAAAGCCTCGAGGTAGATGTTAAAGCTTACAGCTCAGCCCCAGAACTACGTACCCTTCTATTCCGCCTTTTCGATGGCTACATCAAGCTTTGTCTTGCTGCAATCAAATACTCAACAAACCTTGCGCCGGGGTTTCATCAGTCCCGAGGTTTGTTCACAACCTATCGAGCGTCTTTCAGTGCTAATATCCCTATTTAGTAAGCAGAAAGCCAGAAGCAGAGATGAACGCTCTTAAAGACATGATCATCAAGACAACCCAGATGTTTGACCGCAAGACAACGCAGGTTAGTCGCGCAGTCGCCATGAACACTGGGCATACGGTGCTTGCAAAGATGAACGAGCAAGCATTAACAGCTTCCGAGTATCACGAACGGTCAATGGCCGCTACGGAAGGACAAACCAGCACTCTCCTCACCGCCCTCGCCAGACTCCAGCCCTCAGGTCCAGAGCCAATTGAGGAGTTCCAGCTTCCCGTTGACACACTCACCATGCCACGAAACACAAACTTTACGGGTCGCGACAAATTCATTTCGCAACTTCATTCCTTTCTTGTTTCGGGTAACCAAAATGTCAACAAGCCGGCATCTTGCTGCCTATTGGGAATTGGAGGTATGGGAAAGACCGAGACAGCTCTCGAGTTTGCTTTCAAATACCAACAACACTGGACCGCGGGCATCTTTTGGGTGGCTGCTGACCATAACCAAGAGATGGAGTTACTCAGAACATACAACGAAATTGGCCTATCTCTGGGAATTGTATCGTCGGAAGAATTCGATGACAGAAACCTGGGCAAAGTCAAGAACTGGCTTCAAAAGACAGGTAAGGCATTACATCAGCCACCGAGTATTACCAGCTTGCTGACTTTAGTCCACTACTTTAGATAAACGATGGCTCATCATCTTCGACAGCTTTACACCTTCTGGAGAAGGAATCGATTGGAGGCGAAACATGGAAAGGATCTGGCCTTCCAAAACCAAGGCTGCTGGTTGCTCTATCATCGTCACCTCTCAGACGGAATTACCATCCAAGTATGTGGAAAAGACCATCCCAATGGAACCATTGGGAGGGGACGAGGGGCTGCAGCTCTTGCTTCCAGACGAGGAGCTCAAGCAACTCAAAGAATCCGACAGAGATGTCGCTTTGGAAATCGTCAATGAGCTTGGCGGATCTCCCCTGTTTCTTAATCTCGCCCGAGAGTTTAGGGGAGATACAATCCCTCTCCAGAGCTACTTGGACCAGATCCGCGGTGACAGCAACCTTCCCTTGGCCAAGTCCCATGCGGACGAAATTGACAAAGATTGGAGATACTCCAAAGCTGCTTTCAAGGCCATTGACTTATCCCTCCCTCATGTTGGCACGGGTCTAAGAGACCTTCTTGATGAACTCGCCTTCATGTATGACGAGGACATAAGCGAGTTTATACTCAACAGTCAATTATCGGCCCAGTAAGTCGCAACTGCTCATTCAGATAAATGCATAGTTAGGCGCAGTGCTAACGGGTCGCTACCTCAGATCCAGTCCGGAAACAAATAGGCAGTATCTTGAAAATGTCCACATGCTTGTAAAGGCAGGACTGGTCAAGGTCAATGCTGAAGTGTCACACGGAAAGAAGGCACATCGCAGCCTCAGAATCCATCGCGCAATTCAAGTGGCACTCTTGATTCAACTCAATAGCGATGTTGGTAGAAGAGAAGCTGCATTGAAGCGGGTAACGGGCCATCTACGTGCTAGCTACCCAGAGCCGTCGCCAATGCAGATACCTAGCGCTCTTGCATCCAATACACTGAGGCTTGTTTTGCCTCATGTGCTGAGCATGGTGAGGTGCTACGAGAGGGCCTTTCCCAAGCCAAGGGGTGACCTACAACTTGCACGACTTATTATCGGCTTCGGTGGGATGGACTGCTATGACCGTGGGTTGATACGCGAGTCATATGATCTTAACAACTCTGCCAAAATGGTTTTAGAGTCATTGGAGAAGGTTGAAAGGCTGGAGATTATCGACCCATACTGGAGCGATGCCCTGACAGTCCAGGGTCTTTGCACGGACTTTATGGGGCTAAACACAAGAGGGGAGGGCCTTGACGTCCGTACAAAGTGTATGGAGATACGGAAGCGCCACTTCCGCAGCATACCAGGTCGCAAGTTGCAGCATGAAAACGAGATTCGTCTTTACAACTGCTACACCGACTTGAGTTGCAGTTACCAGCAAACCAACGAGTTTGGCCTGGTGAAAGATCTGGTAAACCAATGTTACCAGAAGTACCTAGAATGGGGAACAGAGGAGGAAGGACCTTACGAATACTCAAAGTACTACAGTCAGTTGAGCCATGTCTTGATCTACGAGGGTAGAAACGACGAAGCAATTGAATATGCTGAGAGAGCATGTCATCTGGCCGAACTGTCCAGCCCGGAGACTAACCATCCTTGGCTGTACAAATTTCAGCATGCCAATATTATGTGGCGGCATGGAGACCGCAAAAAGGAAGCCTTTGAACTGATGAAAAGTCTCATCAAGGCTCATTCCCAGGGGCTGTCAGTATCCTACTCCGAAGTCCTGAATCTCGGTATGGAACAGAACCTGGGTATTATGGCCTACTACCTGGGTGAACTTGACATGGCCGAGTGAGTGTACCCCCCGCACATATGTTTTGTTTCGTGCAGCTAATACTTGGCAACAAACCAGATCTCAACTCCGTGGCTTGGCCATGCGTACACCGCTAATCCTTTTCAGATCAGAGTCCGAATGGCGCCGCCTTGAGGGTCAAAGATGTGTTCAAGGATCATGCCGATGAGCTTCTTTCTCGTCGATATAGAATCATCAAGTAGGTGCTCACCCTCTACGAAAGACATCGACTCTGACCTTGCTAACTTGTTAGCATCTGGAGACCGCTTCAAATCGTGCGCAATTGGCCTTTGGCCATTTGTGACTCACAAAGTGTCAACGCAGATGATCTTATACGTAATGACCTGGTACGTCGACGCTATATTGGCGAGTCGTAACTATGCATTACATAGCCCCAATCACCAATGGCATTACCTTTCGTCGCAAAAGCCACACGAGGTCACATTACTCAAGATTTTTGACTCTGATGTGAACGCGAGAACAAGATGTAAGTTGTGCAGCTCCCCCTATTCTCACGTTTATGATTATTCATATCAACGAACAGTCTCTCTACATTCTTCATTTCGCCTTGGTTATGCAGACCAGAGCCGCGAGAGCTTCGAGATCAGAGCACTGGTGTTTGACAAAGCAGCATGACTACCAATGCTCGATGTTTGGAATGGCCGGTTTCCTTTAACTATGTTTTGTACTATATATCTGTTCCGATCTTATTTCATCTTCTGCAAGCTATGAAATGCGACACGCCACAGAACCTTTCTGACATCGAAAGAATTACTTTAAATACCTCTCTAGGCCGCATAACTACCTTGAATACTGATTTTAATCAATCCAAGCAGCATACTGTCGCAAAGTTTTCAGCACATCTTCCAGCTTAGGTCTCTCAGCAAAGCGTAAGAGCTCACTGTATCCATTCTGATGACGCCCCTCCATGTGCCTGGCTTTCGCTGTCTCGTGAAACTCCATGTCACTCAGTCTGATGGATGCGAGCTCCTGGGCGGTTTTGATAATTTCGAGCGGTGATATATCTGCAACATAGTCACCTCTGCTGTTTCTCCTCTCGGTGAAAAATAAGTGACCTCTTTTCTGAACTCTGATATCGAGAGACTGAGTCTCAGGGTCGCCCAGAGTGCAGCTCTGAATCAGTTTCCGCAATCTCAAAGGAGTATTTCTGAACTCTGGGAACTGTGTAGTCACAGCTTTTGTGTAGTTCTCATCCAGGCCGTTCAATGTGTGACTGCAACCTTCAAACATACACCAGAGAACTTTTCCCAGAGCGAATACCATAGCACTCTCCTGCATCTCGGCCGTAAGATTTATCCATTCGTCATAGTAGCCGCGTGGGGGACTGGAATATAGTTCTTGACGATAAGTGCGTTGGGAAAGTGTAACCGACAGCAAAGTCTCATACTCCAATCTTTTTGATGCAGGAACGGCGTCGTCTCTGGCCAGTCTCTTCATCCATGAGGTATAGAGTATTTCTGGAGCACAAAGCGTATCCCAAGTGCCTCCTTGTTCCAGATCGATGAGAAGCATTTTTTCGTTTTCTGAAAAGCACACTAGAATATTATCGGGCTTCAGATCCGAATAGAACTTCGTTGGACTCTTTTTGATGTGTTGCAGGGCCCGAACTAGTTGGATTGCCAATCAACCTTGACCGACGGTGGTATTTCCGGGCGGGAGTCCAAGACATTCCCCAAGGTTTGCCCGCGAACATACTCCATCAGAAACCCAAGCACTTTGGTGCCATCATTGGTGGTTTCGCCAAAAGATACAATGAAAGCTGGTTTTCCAATGATGTTGTTGTGCTGTGAAATACTCATGAGCAACTTGATCTCGTGATAGATGCGGTTGATATTGCCCAGGTTTGTTTTGAGTACGTATAGCTTGTCTGTCAATCCATGAGGCAGGTGTACAATACAGACCGTCTTTGTCAGCTGTTCGACAAATCTCAAACGACTAACTGAAATGACAGGAGGCCATTCCTGCTGTGATATATTCCAACTAACTTGGAGGGAGTCAAGGATACTCAGCTGTTGATGCCAATCATTCCTAGCGACGAACCTAGGCTGGGATGATTCGGGGTTCAATTCAAGCCGTTGGAACACAATCAGAGACCCAAATGCAATGTTTCGATAAATTTCGTCTAAGAATGATTGATTCAATGACCAATAGTCGAGAGCTTGTACGAGATATTGGCAGATTCCAAGGTGCTGAAGCTCAGATCTTGGAGTGCAAATGACGCCGACCCAACCCAACCCTCTTCGAATCCTGAGAGGGTGCTCTGACTGACAGGGAATGAGGACATTAATGTACTTTACTGGAAGATCTGGAGCCATCTATATCGGAGCAGCGAAGAATACGCGACCCATGGAGCTGCACCCGTCAATCCTCCACCTGACTGTTGTCGGCTGGACATGAAGGCGATCAATCCTATTCTTGGGGTTCAGTAATGATGACTCCCATACAGGAGCCGACGTATTAGGGCATTTGGATAGTGCCTGATGCTCAGCTTCGCAAAACGCGACAAGCTGATTGCTCCTAGGATCACCCAAGAATGGCCCTCTGGGGCTTAAAAGAGGTTCAATACTTGTCACAAACTCCATAGTGTCCAGAAGTTGATCACGCAGGGTTTTGTAGTCCCTTCAAGTCATTTTATCGCGGGAACATGTCAGTCTTTTATGTACGGCGCCATTGACCCCTCGCCTATCCATGTTGCGGCCCTCAGCGTACCTACCAGTGAAACTTGTGAAACCTGGGATACGTCACCCGGCCCTTTGGGCTTACAGGGGGGTTGAAAAAGAAAACGATACTCTGGGCTCAAGTACCTACCTACAGGCATGGGTATACACCGGCCTATATGTGTCTGCTTGTTACTGGCGGATCGACGCCACCTGTCAGGTATTTCATCATCTTTACCGAGGCAGAGAGGGGTCATATAATGATGTACATTATTCTCTCCTCAACATCAATCTCACCTTTACATCCATCATCCCACGATTAATGACACGTCTCTTCACGGCTGAAAGCGGCGGGCTGACTGACTCATTGGCCGTAGCACGGGAACTCGTCGTTTCAGAGAGCAATCTTTCTCCGACCAAAAATGGCATCCGATAAAAGTACAATCAATGTCGTTGTTACTGGAAGTGGCGTAAGAACCTTATCACCATGTCCGTCGATAAGTTTCCGATTTTTAACAACAATAATAGCCATACGGTAACTACGATTTCAACACATCTGGCTAGATCCGCGATGAACTTCTGTCAGTGATATCACGTCCCAAGAAGCCCGACATAATAATACACCACTTTCCTATCAACTCGTCATGTTCGTATGAGTTCCATATCAAGACCAAGGATGAGATTTGGTCTGGCGAGTTTATTCCCGGACGTATCGACCTGGTACTGCACATGGGCATGCGATCAAGCTACCCTGGGTACTGTCTTGAGACTCGCGCCAGAAAGTCCGGTTATAAGCGCAATGGTAAAGACGGAACACCTTATCCCGTTGCCATGATTGAACCCGGTGGGCCCTGGGCAGAACTTCCGGACTATCTCTACTCAAACTTCAATATAGAAGAAATAAAGCGGTCGTTAAAAATAAGTCCCGGTAAGTAGCCGATACACTTAGTCCACAGAGAGGAAGGAGCTAATTTCATTTTATCTCAAGGATGCTAATATCAAGGTATCACAGAACGCTGGAGAGTACTTTTGCGAATTCGAGTTCTGGTCGTGTCTCGCAAGCGCATACCTCAAGCGTCAATGTCGCGATGTTATCTTCCTTCATGTTCCGAATGACAGGTCAGCTGAAGCTATTCAAAAAGGAGCCATGGTAGCTCAAGGTGTAATTCAAGCAGCTGTGGAAGAAATAGAGCGTCGGTGATCTTCCCTAGAAGCCTCCCGTTAGATAGATACAATGAGCTCAAACAACCATATGCCATCAGGAATATCAGCATACGCAAAGTCCCCAGTGAGACCGTCATATAAACGTATCGCATTCATCGAGAGGGTTCGCGACTCTGAGACAGCGCGTTAAGGCCGGCATACGAAGTAACAGCGAGCGCCACGATTCCCAAGCATATATCCCCAGTGTCCGAGATGCCGCTCGGAGATGGCTGACCCTTTCCTGCATCACGCGGAATGAGATTGAAAGTCTTGGAAACGGATGACCACGCTGTGGCTGCAGGCGCCACGATCGTATCCGCCATGCCGAAGCAGTATTCAAACGGCAGCCCAGTACTCCACGACAATAAGTATGTCAGACCAAGAGAATGCACCTCCATAAGCCGGTGACGTCTTCCAGACCCAAAGCATGGCAGCGTGAGTAGAATGAACCTGTAGACTGCGTGCGCAAAAATCCAGCTCTTGGAAGAAGCGGTGAAAATAAAGAGGTTGTCATGTAGCATGATAGTTTTCCACTGCACTTGATACCCTTGTAGAATAATCCAGGCGGAGAGAGAGATGCAAGCGACTTTGCAGCAAATGCCACGGAAGGTCCCTCCAGAAGGGGTCGCGACCATCATGAGAATATTGCCATAGACCGCAAAGTTGACGTAAATGGTGAACGCGTGTAGCCATTGCGCTTTGGTCGGTCTGCTAGCGACGATGAAAAGAAGGACGGAGCCGAGGCCGAGGGGCATCGTAGCCATTGTTTTGGCCATTTCGCCTTTGGTGGAGCTTCTATCGAAAAGGATGATAATGGCGCTGGTAGTGTAGACAATAGTGAGGAGAAAACCGGGTTTAGAGATGAGGCAGCGGTAGGCAAGGAAGAGTATGCCGCTGAGGGATGCATTGAAGGGGATGTCCACATACGGCTCTAATGCCGCATACAATGATAAAAGACTCATGGTGGTGCGCTACTATTGTTATTTAGCTTTGACCCAGTAACGACCAATAAATGGGATCCAGGTATTCCAATAACAGCCATAAAAGTATGAACAATAAAGTCTCTGGCCAGACTGAAGTCTCAGTAAACGCGCCACTATATTGAGCCCTTGAAACGCTTCAGGAGAAAGTGAGTGGCTTGGACAAGTCTCCGAAATTTAAATTCCCCCGCCTGTTCCGTGCTGCGTGCAAATGGAGGACCCATAAATACAAGGGTCGGAATTGATTAGTCAGTTCAAAGCAGCCGAAGACCTTTAGGGCAAGGTGTCTTTAATTATTATTTAAAAGCAAAATGTCCTTATACAGTAAGTCTGTAAAAGTTATAATACATTTTAAAGTAGTAAATAACAATTATAAAATATTTGTATATAAAGCTTAACTTAATACTTATAATTTTTTAGTATTTTTTCTAAGTATATTAAGTAGTATAAAAAAATAAGAATTTTTATTTTTATTTATATAAATATTAATATAGTTAATAAGTATATAATGTAAATAAGTATATAATACACTTTTCCCTTTTATATTTAACTTTTTATCTAATCTAATAATTCTTAATAGCTAAGAATACTATAATCTTTAAATAAACCTAGAACTCTTTTTATACTTTAGGCTTGTTGTAATATAATAGGCAAAAATACAATGTGTAAACCACTGTACTAAAAGGTCTGCTATAACCTTGGTTAGAGGAAGTAGCCTGTAATTACAGCTATGAAGCCCCTGTAACGTACTGTAATATATAACAGGTGCCCCCCTAATTACAAAGGAAGACCACTGCCTACAGTGGCCTTATAGCGGACCTCCTAGCGTTACAGCGATGTAGCCGGCTCCGTAGCAGTCCCCCTTGCCTAATTATAGCACGATCTTAAGGTTGCACTAAGCTATAGCACGTGACGGTAGGTGCTGCACCTCGCTAGCATATAAAGCTAAGCCTAATCGGGAATTAAACCTTATAGCCTTTTACTTAAATGCTAAAATGCTATAACGGGGATTGAACCCGTAACTTACAGTAATTATTACTATTTATTATAATATAATAGGCAAAAATATAATATGTAAACCACTGTGCTAAAAGGTCTGCTATAACCTTAGTTAGAGAAAGTAGCCTGTAATTACAGCTATAAAGCCCCTGTAATGTGCTATAATATATAATAAGGCTCTTTAAAATAATTTAAAACTTAATATTTAATATACTATAAAGAACTATAAGATCTTTAAGCCTAGGCTATTTTACTATAA